TCTGCCTGCCCCACCGCCTTGCCGCTCCGCCTTGGCTCCGCTCGGGCAGAGCAAAGCCCTCCATGCCGTGCGCTCCGTGGGCTGTGGGCTCGCGGCCTGTGGGCCCCGTGGGGCCCGGCGGGCAGCAGTAGTCTCCAGTGGGCCGAGCCCAGCGCGCCGCCACGGCGCTGCCCACCTCAAGCCGTGGCTCCCACGTGCCCGTCTATCAGACCGAGGAGGCAGAGAGGCAGAGGCACTGCCCCGGTGGCATCGCCGAACATCCACGCACCGGGACGTCCAAAAGAAGATCCCTCGAACGGTGTGCACGTCCAAGTAGGGCCTCAATAGAAAATTTTGTATGCAGACAAAAACAAACTCGGATGGAAAAAAGCCAAAACGTGACCTTCTGTTCATTGACTGTTTAAAATTTATTCTGAAACAAACTCTTTACACTCCGCAATAAAAAACAAACAGCTGGGAAACGCCATCAATTTGTGTTCACTCGGTGCGGCTCCTGTGGTAACTCTGTCGTGACCCCCGTCCCCCGCCCGAGGGAATTGTTGTGGCGAGACAACGTATCATTTCATTTATTTGCTCTCTTCCATTCCGATTTTCCCGTTTGGCTGTTTCGCAGCGCCGCCGCCGCGCCGCCCCGCCGCGTGGATGGCTGCGAACCGTTTGTCGCTGGGGAATGTGGCGCTGGATGGCCGCGCTGCTCACCGAGGCCGTCTCTGCGAGCACGGCCCGGCCCGGCTCGCCCGGCTAGACTGACTTTGGCCGGCCAACCCGTTGGAGTCTGATAGCCGGCGTTGGATTTATTGCTCGACTGCTCCGGCCTGGCTCCGGACTGGCTCCGGACTGGCTCCAGCCTACGAAAGGCAACATTAGCAATAAATGTCCAAATGCTGTCTGTCCGTCTGTCTGCCTTCCTATCTGTCTGTCTGTCTGTCTGACTGACTGACTGCCTGTCTGTCTGTATGTCTGTCTGTCTGGTTTTTCTGTCTGTCTGTCTGTCTGTCTGTCTGGTTTGTCTGTCTGTCTGCCGTGCAGGCGATTCGCGACGGACGCAGCGACGCAGCTGCACAGGTGGCGTTCTAACCATCAGCCCCTCCTCCACGTCCGCCAACGTCCCTCCGAGGCAAATGCCCAAATTTGACCATAACATTTGATGGCCGCCCCGCCCCGCCCCGCCCCGCTGCATCGGCTGGCCAATCTCTGGTGATCGGCGTCGTGGCCGCGCTGGCCGCGCCCGAATTAGGCGGCAGGTAGCGATTTGATGGCCAGGCAGCCAGGCAGGCAGGCAGGCAGCCTGGCACTCGGACGGGCCTCCACGCACACTCACACGCACGCACTCACACATGGGCATGGGCCGGTTCCGAACGCCCCGCCCCGCCCCGCCCCACCCCGCCACGCCCCCCGGAGGCCATTGGACTTGGCTGGTGCCTGGTTCTCTCCAACGCGCCGCGCCGCCACGCCGCGCCGGCCGCGCGCTCGCAGGTCCGCGTCGTCCGCGTTCAGCAGGAACACGTTTACCATCATGCGATTTGTCTGTGCCTCCGCGCGTCTGCGCGTCTCCACGTGTGTGTCCTTTTGCGACGCCCGTTAGTGTGAGTGTGCGTGTGTGTGTAGATGTCAGGAGCGCCGCGCGCTGTGAAGTACACTACACCGCAGACACTCCGTGTCGCCGCCCGGCGGACACGGCGGCGGCCCGCGCCCGGGTGGCAGGCAACCCAACGGCCGGTGCTGGTTGACAAGGCGGCCTGGCGGCCAGGCGCCGAAGTAACGACCGGTGACGTCACTCGCTCGTCGCGTTTTCAGCCCGAGAGTGCTACACGTGCAGTGCACCGCCCCGGGCCTCGGGCTGGTGACTTTATCTGGACCTTGAACAGCGTGGCCCGGCACCCGCGGTGCGTAGTACTTACACTGTGCGAGCGCAGGGGAGGCGCTGCGGGTCCACTGCTGCAAGTCGCTCTCCGGGCTGCTGGGTAATACTCCGGCGGCGCGGCGCACAGTGGTCCAGAAGATCGGTGAAGGCGGTCAAAATCCCGGACGCGCTTTGAGCTCCAGAGTCGCTAAATGCGGCTCGAACCGAGCGTATGACCCCACCAATGGATTCCTCTCCGAACGAGGAACCCATTGGTGGGGTCACACGTTCGGTTCAAGTCACATTTAGCGACTCTGGAGCTGAAAACGCGTCTTGAGTTTTGGCCGCCACCACCGGTCTTCTGGCCCACTGTGCGGCGGCCCCTGTCTTGCAGCCAGGATCGATAAAGCCGTTCTCGTCAAGTGAACCCGTTAGTTCCGGAATGAGCCGCGCCGTGCGTCTCGCGTGCACTGCCGTGTACCGCCCTACAGTGCAGCGAAGGGCGCAGCTCCGGCTTACATCCCGGCGCGCTGCACGGTGCTGCATTCGCTGCATTTCCCCCGAATTGCTTCCTATCCGCCGCCTCGGCGACTCTCGAGAAGCAGCCAAGCAGCGCCCGCTGTCTCCGCCTGGCATATTGAAAGTGCCCGCGATTGTTTTTGTTTCTCTTTTCCTTTTTCTCTGTTTCTTCGGTTTCCGCGTTATCGCAGTGCCGGCATCATCGCCCAATACGGTTTTTGCGTCTTTGCCTCGCTGCGGCGCGCTGCGGCTCGGTTCGGGAGGCGGAGGGGGAGGGCTTTTGCGGTTTACTGCCCTTTGGAGCCTCGTGTTGGCGGCGGCGGCGCGGCGGCAGCGGCGGCAGGAACTCTGCCCCATCTCGGCGTCCCGGAACATTTTCTGCTTTTCATCAAAGCGGGCCGGGGCGGCGCCGCCGCCGGGATTTGGCCCGGAAATCCGGAAATCCGCGCCGCAACGAACGAATTTCACGGCTTTCGCGACAAAGCACTCGTTCTTCGTACGCTGCACTGCTGCGGTGGCGTGTAGTGTAGGTGCGCTAAGCCACGGCAATCCAGTCTCCAGCAGCGTGAGGGGCGAGGAACGGACCACTGCTAGCTCGTGCAGATCCTAATTTATGAACCAAACGATGCCGTCTAAGGCATGCACGAAGAGATTCAGCAGGACCAGTTTGGCCACTCAAATGCGAAAATGTTTTTCCGACGGTTCGAACCTGCCTCCGTCAGCGTCTTCAAGGTCCGCCGAATTTCCGCCAACCCCCCGATGCCGTTTTCCTCGTCTTTCGGTGACGCGCCGCGCCGCCGCCACTCCGGAGCCTCGTGCCTCCCTCGGGAGCGACTCCGAACAGTCGCTCTGTCTCTCTCGCACGCCCACGGCAAGCCCCGCGAGTGCGAGAGAGACAGGGCGCGACCGAGTTCGGACTCGGCCCGGCTGGCCTGCCTTGCAAAATATTTACTTTCATTGCCGACTGTTCGGGCGACGCCTAAACCGCACTGATGTCTGTCGCGCTACCCGCGCCTCGCCGCGCCCCGCCACCGTAAATTGGCAGAAAAGAAAAAGAGCTTATCTGAGCGCAGCTCGGTCCACAGTACGCCTACGGAATGATTCCGAAGGATCTCTCTGTCTCTCTCGCTCCCCTGCAGGCAGCATGCTGGACGCGCCGCGGGTGCGAGAGAGACAGAGTTCGGGATCGCGCCGGCAGTGCGCTGCAGACGGGTAAATTGTCGCGGAGGCCAACAAGGCCAAGCCCCTGTAAGTTCGAGCTCGCCTAGCGGCGCGGCGGCGCGGCGTGTGTGGGTCACTACACGAGGAAAATGAACTGCGGTCCGAATGAGTCGCAGTCCAGTCGCTGGCATGCAGTGCTGCTGGCCCTTGCTCGCGAGCCGAGCCGGCTTCTCCCCCACCGAAAGTTCCACAATCCGCGGGCCCAGCAGAGTTCGGGCTGTCTTGGAGGCAAGGGCAAGGGGTGAGGCTCGGCGTCGGGACCACTCCACACAGCACACATAGCGGGCCGGGCCGGGCCGGGCCTCCCCGGAGTCCTGGCCTCCCTGTGGGCTCTGAGGCCGCCTTGGGCTAGGCTGGCCAAACCCCGCGCCGAAACTGCACACACACACACACTTACTGAACAACAAGTACAGCAGCGAGTACAGTGCTGGCTGAGGATGCCCGCCTCGTCGCGACGCCTCACGAAGCGAATGGCAGACGAACGGCAATAAACCCACTTGCAATATCACGGCCAACCGCGGCCAGTGCCACTGCCAGTGCACCGCCACTGCCACTTCCACTGTGGGCACGGTGGCGAACAAAAGAGCAGTCTCATGGCTTTAACTGCGCCCCGGTTTGAACACTGGAAGGCATTAAATTAGAGAGCATGGGGAGAGATGGCCAACCAGGACCGCTCACGTCTCGGCACGGGGAGGAGGCAAGAAAACGGTCCTTTCTATCGAAAGTTTCCAGCTACGATTTCAAACTGTCGTCCTTTTGAGACTCGGGATTTTGCAGGACTCGAACCGAACGTGTGACCCCACCAATCGATTGCTCTCCGAACGAGGAATCCATTGGTGGGGTCACACGTTCGGTTCGAGTCCTGTTTAGCGACTCTGGAGCTCAAAACGCGTCTGGAGTTTTGGCCGCCTCCGCCGGTCTTCTGGCCCACTGTGCCACGGGCTGGAGCGGGCCGAGGGCCGCCGAGGGCGAAGCAGGGCAAACACTGCCATAATTCCCGGCAGTCAGCCGCATCCGTCGTGCGACTGCGCGACGCGGCCGCGCGCCATCCTCGCCATCCTCGGCGTGGTTTGGCTCGGCCTGCTCCGCCGCTCTGCCGAGCGATTCAGAGGAGTCGTCTCGTCGCTCCGTCTCTGTCGCACTCACGGGGCTCTCCGTAAGCGTGCGAGAGAGACAGAGCGGCTGCGATTCTCCTCCGCAACGCCCAATGCCCGACCCGCCGGCCACCGCTCCGCTCTCGCTGTGTCGCCGCGGTCGCCGCTCGGTGGGCGGCTTGCACTGTACAGCCGAAGGGTTAGCCTCCGCGAAGAACCTCGGACCTCTCCGTTGCACCCGCTGCCCGGGCCGAGCGAGAGAGACAGAGACGGAGACAGCCGTGGGCCCCAAGGGGAGGATGGGCTGGGCCTGCTCGGCCTGCTCGGCCTGCTCGGCTACATAACAGTGGTCGAGTGAATGATCTAGCAGGCAGTCACAGCCCGGACGCGATACAACGACGCGACGACCCTACGACGCCGACCTCGTCTACGACGCGCCCAGCACGCCAACTTGAACTTGAACTTGGACGAGTACCCGGCGGCAGCAGCAGCATGGCTCAGGTAAGCTGGTCGCCGAGGCCGACTCCGAACCGTGGCTTCGTCGCAGTGTGTCTCCCTCGCGCTCGCGGGGCGTTCCGCGCGGCCGCGACAGAGACAGAGCGACGAGTCGCCGCGAGGAAGCAGCCCACAGTGCAGGTGTCCCGCGACCGCGCGCGTAGCAGCGAGGGCAATCCAAGTGCCGAGCTTTGGAGTACGGCTGCACATTCGGGCAAAACACTGCGGCCGGCCGTACGCCCTGGCGGCCCTGGCACTCGCGCATCCCTCCGCCCCCCCCCCCTTTTCCCTCCCGCCGACTCGCACGGGGCAGGAGCGGTGGACACACCGGCACACAGTGGGCCAGAAGACCGGTGGAGGCGGCCAAAACTCTAGACGCGTTTTGAGCTCCAAAGTCGCTAAACAGGACTCGAACCGAACGTGTGACCCCACCAATGGATTCCTCGTTCGGAGAGCAGTCCATTGGTGGGGTCACACGTTCGGTTCGAGTCCTGCTTAGCGACTCTGGAGCTCAAAACGCGTCTAGAGTTTTGGCCGCCTCCACCGGTCTTCTGGCCCACTGTGCGGCACTCCGCGCGGCAACCTGTGCACAGATATGGCGGTCCGGCTGTCTCGACGCGCTGCCACGCCACGCCACGCCGCGGCACCGCGGGTCTCGTTAAAGAAGGGAAAAAATGGTGCCGTCCATGGTCTGGTCATGCCGGTGCAGCGAGCTGCAGCAGCGACCGGGAGCCAGCCAGCACGCATTTCCCAGAAATTGCCTCGACTTCCTTCTCAGATCGTTTATTTTGATCGTGCGTGCCCTGCAGCCCGCAGCCTGCGGCCTGCCCTGCTCCCTAGTGCAGTCTTGTCTCGCACAAGCTCCGCGACAGCGATTTCCCCTCCCCCTCCCCCTTCTCCCCGCCGCGCGTCTCCAATTGTTGTCTGTTTCGAGAATCGGACGGGAGCGGACGAGTAATTATGATTCCTCTGACATTGACGCGGCGTGGCGGAGCGCAGCGCGGGTACCTGGAGTACCGGCAGGCTCCGAACCGTGCGCTCCGTCGCTCTGTCTCTCTCGCACCCCTGCGGACTGCCACGCGAGTGCGAGAGAGACAGAGCGATGAGAGCGTGACTGTTCGGGACGAGCCTGCAGACTGCAGACGCGGCAGGTAGCGGTCCAGGCGCGCAAGTAGTACAAGCAGTGCCTCAGGTGGACGTACCGACGTACTCGCGCGCGGCAGGCCCCCCTTTCCGACTCTCCGATCGCCTCTGAGGTTTAAATGACGCCAGAGCCGCCGCTTCGAACCGATCGGTCGCAGCCGTGGCCTGACCGGCTCTGTCTCTCTCTCTCGCACCCCTACGGCACGCCCTGCGAGTGAGAGAGCGCGGCGAAAGCTCTGTTCGACAACCTTATCGGGGGTCACTCCGGGGTCCCCGTCATAGGGGGGCACGGTTTGAACATGTGCGCGTTGCCGCTGTGTTCTGTCGTGTTTTTGTCACGTTTTTGTAACGTGCTTTTGTAACTAGCGGCCCCTGTGACGCACTGCAGCAACAGCGTGTCGCTCTGTCTCTCTCGCGCCCACGGGGCACCCAGGAGTGCGAAGGGACGTCAGCTATCTTATGGGGGAGACACACGCCACTGAAGGGCTAGCACAGCCTTGGCGCAGCCCGCACCACCCCTGCGCCTTGAGTGACACATGAGGCCGTACGGAAGCACGTGCCCACACGCCAAAAAAAATTGTATTCATCATGAAACATCTAACCCGCGCTGGCGCTCTCGAGTCATAAGTCTTCGCGTTACTTTTTTCTACGCTATTTCTTTCTTTGTTTTCCTTTTTGTGCACTGCTTGCTACCGCTCTGAAGGGCAGACGACGTACGCTGGAAACGGATGGCGCCGCTGTCCGAAAGAAACAGCATAATTGACCGTCTCCATCGACGGACGTGCCCGATTGAAATTTCAAATGAAAACGTAAACGTATCATCGACGAAAAGTCGAGTCGCCTGAGAGTGAGTTCCTCTCGTCGTTCCCGGCCGCGAGCCTTGCCGCGTGCAGCTGGGGCCGCGGGCCTGTGCATTGGCATGCGGTGCAGCAGGCCGCCGTCGCTCTGTCTGTCTCGCTCGCACTCGAGGGGTGCCTCGGAAGGGTGCGAGAGAGACAGAGCGCTGTTCGGAATCAGACTGGCGGCTCGGCCGATACCTTTATGCGCCGTCGTCGTACGCGCCGCTTCTATAAAGGGAGGCTGAACCCCCGGATTCGAGTGTAGTGCACGCTCCGGCGGAACGGCTGGGAATGGCTCTGCAGGGTGGGCCCGCCGCCCCACAGTGGGCCAGAGACCGGTGGAGGCGGCCAAAACTCTAGGCACGTTTTGAGCTCCAGAGTCGCTTTACAGGACTCGAACCGAACGAGTGACCCCACCAATGGATTCCTCGTTCGGCGAGCAATCCATTGGTGGGGTTACACGTTCGGTTCGAGTCCCATTTAGCGATTCTTGAGCTCAAAACGCATCCGGGATTTTGACCGCCTCCACCGGTCCTCTGGCGCACTGTGCGTCCGCCACCGCTGCCCCCGTTGAGAGCTCCGCTCGGCTCCGCTTCCAGAGCCTCGTCGAAGCATCGCCACCAGCAAACAAACCATCTCTCAATTCCCCGCCGACCTTTCCCTGCGTTTATGGCCGGCCGTCGCGGCGCCCTGAGCTTCGCCGTCTCCCTCGCACTCCTGCGCCACGCCCCGTGCACGCCCCGTGAGTGCGAGAGAGACGGGGAGGGCGTCAGTCTGCAGTGTAGGGGACGTCGACGTTCCGTTGTTGAAGACGGCCGCGTCCGGAAGTGCGGCTCGCTGCCGACGCTGCCGATCGCACGCGGCCGTGGCGTGGCGGGGCGTGCTATCGGGTGCCGTACCGCGCTCTGTCTACACGCCTGGATGGGAGACTGAGGCTCTAGGCGGGGCGTGGCGGGGCGCGGCGGGGCGCGGCGCTGCAACAGAGCATACTATTAGAGGTTATTACGTCCGTGACTGCCGACCCCTCATCTCGGGGAAAGGTAAAAGGGAGGGGGGGGGCGTCCCTAGGCGGGGTCCCAGGATGCACCGGGACGTTTGAACGGCGGCATGACGGCGGCATCGCGTTGCAGGTGAAGCTGGTCCTGGTGGCGCTGGCGGCGCTGCTGGCCGTGTCGCTGGCCGTGCCCGCCAAGTACCGCCGCGACGACGGCCACGCCGTCTCCGACTCCAGCTCCGACTCGAGCGACTCCAGCGACTCCAGCAGCAGCGAGTCCGGCGAGGAGCACAACCGCAAGCGGCAGCCGGCCCGCAACGTGCCCGTCAGCAATGTGAGTAATGACTGCGGGAGGGAGAGGGAGAGAGAGAGACGCGTCCTAACTGCCGGCGTGTTCAGCCCCAGGACCCGCAGGACCAGCAGGAGGAGCAGTACGCCGGCCTGGCCATGGGCAACGCCATCCCCTTCGAGCCCAAGGAGAGCGAGGTGGTGCCGCCCTACCCCAAGCCCGTGCGGAGGAGCCACGCCGACAAGGGAGCCGTCTTGGACCAGAAGGTGCGCCAGATTGCTCACTCCGAGGCCGCTTTTCTGGCTTCCGCTCCGTTTTCCTGTTTGTAATCTTTGCGCGGTTTTGCCGGTTTTGCAAATGGCCATGCAGATGGAGCCCGGCCAGCCGTGGGAGAGCCACTACAAGCACGGCGTGGCCCCGGCCAAGCTGCCCGCCCAGGAGACCGACAACGCCCACAGCTACAGGCACTCCATCATCCACCCCTACGGCGACGACCTGCACGCCTAGGGCCGCCTGGGGCCGACCGCGTGGCGCGCCACGCCGGAAAGGACATCAAGTACATCACCGCTAACGTCCCCGTCGTCCCCCGGGGCCGAGCCCGGGGCCGATAGCGGACGTGACGTCATCCTGTGGGGTGATGCAGCAGCCAAAGACAAGCCTCCTTCGGCCCAACGAGCACCCACACTGTTTGATTGGAGAGAGGCGTTACCATCCCATAAAATATACACATCAAACTAGTTTAATTCATTCTCCCATATCTGTCACAAATTTTGATGTAGCTTAAGTAGTGAATAAATCATAAATTAATGTTAGTGTGTATTAAAGTCGAAGCCGTGTGAAGAGCGCACCTCACCCCTCGCCCAAAGCGCCCGCCAAGTCGAGGATAGCCTCCCCTGCACGACACGCATGTGTGGCGGGCAGGCCTACCCCGACGCTCGCAGGCGCTCCGGCACACTGGACTCCGCACAGGGATCTCTCTCTCTCTCTCTCTCTCTCTCTCTCTCTCTCTCTCTCTCCTCTCTCTCTCTCTCGTAAGTGCAAGGTCCCGTTAGTGTGACAGAGACACGTAACCGAGAGAGATGTTTGGAATCTCTCTGCTGACACTTCTGTCCCTCCGCCACGGGGCGTGCTGGGCTGTCGTCAGTTTCGCGGCCTCACGGCACGCTTCGAGCCGCGACGCGAGTCTGTCCGGTCCGGTCCGCGAGACACTCATTTGGGCAGCTCGAGGAAGGCATTGATGCAAATGCAAGCTCCACTTCCGCTCCATATGCAACACCGGCACGGACGAGTCGACGCACACTGAACGCCAACGGAGCCCCTCAGCCGCATCTTCAACGAATCTTTTAGACAAAGAATGCCAAGAATTCCAGCAAATACAGTAGGATAATGGTAGAATGATACTCAGCACACATGGGTACTTTGGCCAAAATTTATTTATAAACTTTTATTATATTTTTTATATAAGTATAAAAACACCATAAAAAGTCTCATGGCATCGATATTTGACATTGGTTGATGTGGGATGAAATGCAGGGTAAATATAATTTGATTCTTAATTCAATGCTCCCTCAGTTATGTGACATGAAAACAAAAAGACGAAAAAACTTAGCTTTCCAGTGAAATAAAACAACATGGAATGCTGCAACATGCACAATTATCACAAATTGGTAAACAGTGGTTGGCTGTCTTTTGGACCTCAGATCTCACTGAGAAAGCAATGGGATTCAAAAGAACTTGAAGAAATGTTAAAGGAAATTCACACATGGTACATTGACAAAAGGTAGCACACTTGCACAGTGCATACACAATACAAATACACAGTCTAGAGTAGCTTCCGCTTAAAGTAAAAATGTTGGAAGTTTACTTTAATCAGATTCTACTCTCATTTTGATGAAGCTTCACCCGTGACAAAAGAAATTCACACCGCACTTAGTCCAACTTGAAAATACTGAAGGAGAAAGTCTTTATTTCCTAGTATACATGCACCATTCCATATAAAAATCTGGTTATTTGTCAAGGAAATTCGTAGATAAAGCCATCTTTAAGTCATCACTTAAACAACAGTTAAGTTACTTACCAAGCACCTAGATTCTTGAAATAAATAAAATGTAAGAAAGGATACGTCCAAAAAAGAATGTAGGTCTGGGAAACAAACTGTTAAGGAAAGGACAAGATTCAAAATCAGTTAAACGATAGTTCATACAATTAAATACAGAAAAATATTGTAAACCTTCCAACAAGATTGGTTTATTAGGTTGCATGTAAAGGATACAACAAGTCCACCAAGAAATCCATTTGTTAAAAGAGAGCGGCGGTTGGTAAAATATTTCTCCCATCTGACTCCGGCTTTTAAAAGAATTAAGCACTGGAAGAAAAAAAAGAAAATGAAAAGCAGAACCATAGAGTACATGGATGTCATTCTTTTTATTACTTACCCAGAGACCAAATACTGCAAACACATAAAAGCCAAAGCCTAGAAATCCTGTTAGTCCAAGAATCCCAGCGGTGGATCCTGATAGTGCTGACATCGACGTTCTGCAATACTCCACAACAGCGGCATTGTTTCGAACAGCACTTTCACTGAAGGCGACGATATCTGTTGCAGAGAGAAGTAGAGGATGACAATGAAAGTAAATTAAAGTACGGCAGACAAAACTTTGTAAATAAATGATCATTGAAACTCATGAAAGAATGTTCAATGCACCCTTAAGGAAAAACAGGCATGTGATTATGAAAGGTTACAATTGATTTTCCACCCTGAAAGCAAGCGGGGTGAGTGTACAATAAGTAAATTGATGAGAGGGTTAACAAAATAGGAAGTTGTTAACCTCACAACGTGACTGCTAACGTCATTGCCGACTACTGTTTTGACAACAGTGCCACCATTTACCTCCTGTTCCTCGGTGCGCAGTTTTAATTCTTCCAGCACACATACTTAAGGTACTATTTCTTCAACTAGCGAAGTAAACAATCTACCTTCTAACAAAATTATTGACAAATCACTATTCCAAATTAAAGCGGACGACGTTTAGTACAGAAACCCACCTGCAGGTGTCTCTGCCTCCGCCCACGGTCAGCTGTTCGACTTGAAGAGGGCGGTGCCGAAAATCAAATGTGGTAGAGGCAGAAAGAAGGTCACCTTCATTTTTATCTAAGGTCAGTAAATTCTGGATTTGCACTGTTTTTCAGGGAACGCACTCTCTGTATCGTTCTATTTGAACGTCTCACGATAGTGTTTGTAACAAAGGTTCGACTTTTGTTGATGTCCTTCACAATCATTCACTGGGAGTTGCAGCTACTGTCACAAATTGACATCATCCACGGTGTCCTAACCTTAATATTTAGGTCATAATAAGAGCAGAAAATAACGTGTTTCTCATTATTTCACATTTTTGTGCTCTTCGAAATGCGTCCCTTTGTGTGGATCGAATTTTCAGATCTGCGAACATATGTTGTATACCCACTGTCACAGTCATTTTGACTTGTACATTTACTACATTTAGATTTTGTGAGGTATCTTTAATGCCGCAGTGATCTTATTCTGAATAGAATCACCCGCAGTTATCATTGATACTTATGTAAATTTAATCTTACATCAACATATGACAACTTTCATTCATGATGCTCTCCTGTCATTTGGTTTTCCACCCCCTACTTCAACTCAAATGTCACTTCTGTTTTCAATCTGTCATAGGCAGAATTTACTATATGACTCAACTATTCTACCTTTTCTTTTCTCTTTCTTTGAATGAAAATTTTATATAGCGTATTAGATTTTGTTACATGTGATGACATCATTATTGGTATTACAGCTCATTAATTAGATAAGTTCTTTGTTGTTTCTTGTATCTTACTGGAAAAAAGTTTGTCTTTTAAACCATGTATAAATTTTGAGACAAAATAATGATATGTTATTCTAACATGACATACTTGTCTTCCAGTAAGAATCCTGTTTCATATCATGTCTTTCTCAATATCTTATGTTTGACTTAATTGATTCTTTCTTCAGAGATTTGCAAGTACCAAAAATCACAATGGATGATGAACCAAAGCAACGCTTCATTGAGCAGGGCTCACACAAGGGCAAGGGTATTGCCGTGTTCACCAGTGGTGGTGATTCCCCTGGTACGTAAAGATGCAACTATCATAATTTTCTGTCATTTGATTTGATAAATTTTGTCATAATTAATCACATTTGCTCTTCCATATCTGCTCTTTCTTTCTGGTTGTGCTTTTCCAATGGTCTTGCTCTTATCAATCTGCATTGTTTGCTTCCTAGGTATGAATGCAGCTGTGCGTGCTGTGGTTCGCATGGGTATTTATCTTGGGTGCAAAGTGTTTTTCATCAAGGAAGGTTATCAAGGAATGGTTGATGGCGGTGCTAACATTGAGGAGGCCAACTGGTCTTCTGTGTCATCCATTATCCACAGAGTAAGCAAGTTTTTACTCATTTACATCTTAAGTAAAATTTCTTTTGTTGCATATCTCTTTTAGATTCTGGCTCATCATCTTTTGCCTTAATGGTTGTTTGTTCTAACCTCTGTCTCAACTTGAGAACAACCCTCTTTGATTTGGTACTTGGGTATTATTAGCACTTGGCAAGCATCTTGTAAATAGAGTTGAGTTGAGAGGGGAGGGGAGGAAGCATGGAGGGGAATGTGAAGGGCAGAGGCAATGACCTTTCTCTTGGGGCAACCTCCCTTCACTGAAACTTGATATCTCATAATAATAAAAATTCACCTTGCCATTAAACTTTTTTTCCCCTCTGTTCTATAGTACAATTGTTTTGTTTTCTAAGTAGAAGTTTTTCTCAATGCCGTGTGTCATTAATTAATTTGGTTTCAATCCTTAGGGAGGTACTGTCATTGGTTCTGCTCGTTGCTCCGATTTCCGTGACCGCCCTGGTCGCCTGAAGGCTGCTAAGAATTTAGTTGATCGTGGTATCACCAACTTGGTTGTCATTGGTGGTGACGGTTCCTTGACTGGAGCCAATCTTTTCCGTCAAGAATGGAAAAGCCTTCTGGATGAGCTTCTTTCTACAAGTAAGGTGTAGGTTTGTGTTTGATCATATTACCTTTCTTTAAGGCGTTAAATTTCATGACAACTTTTCTTGCAGAACAAATCACTCCTGAGCAAAGGGAGAAATACAAGCACCTCCATATTGCTGGTATGGTTGGATCCATTGACAATGACTTCTGTGGCACAGACATGACCATTGGTACTGACTCAGCTCTTCACCGCATCATTGAAGCAATTGATGCTATTGTGTCAACTGCTTACTCGCATCAGCGAACGTTTATTATGGAAGTTATGGGCAGACACTGTGGGTAAGTAAGTTTTTAATTTGTCATCTCAAGCTTCCATTGCAGCTTCAAACCAAAAACAAATCTTCTATTTATGGGCATTAAAACACCTGATATCTTTTGTCAAGGGTTATCTATGTGTTCATGTTCATAACTGGTTCACATTTTATTGTTTTAATTTGATAAAGTGTAACAAACCTCTGAAAAATCTGGAAAATTATTCTCTTTGTGGTCACTTCTCCACAGCATTCAATGTTAGAATTACTGACATTACTGTGTTCACCCTAATTAAGGTATCTTGCAATCGTGGCTGCTTTGACATCTGAAGCGGACTATGTGTTTTGCCCCGAAAACCCTCCACCTGTGGACTGGCCCAAAAAGCTGTGTGACAAGTTAGAACAGGCAAGGGACCATATGTCATCTATCTGTGTTATGCCTTGCTTTTAACTTGCAGAGAATGACTTTAACCCAAACAGGCTCAGAAGTTATTGCATTGTTCCTGCCTGAAGTTTGCTTGTTGACTACCCTTATCCACATGCTCTTTATCCCTCTCATCGGTTTAAGTCACTTCAAAATTTTACACTGCATAATTATGTCTCAAATTTGAACCAATAAGATTTCATCCTAGTTTTTGCCTCTTAGGTTACTGTCCCAAAGTTTTAAAGCCATCTCCAGAATCAATTATTATTTGAAACCACATAATGTTATCATAGAGGTATTGTTTCCCAAGGGCATTGGCTGGGCGCTCGAGATCATGTTTTTCGTGGGGACACCATTGGGCAAATTTGGTATGCTTTGAATGTTTTGCTTGATTGCTTCATCTTCATAGTCAGTACCAAAAGGGACCGTACTTGAATATCATCTCTTTCAATGTCTGAGGGTTCTTGTACAGCATTATTCAAGTGTGTGTCCATGTTCTCAAAGGAGAAGATTTTGAATGCTAGCTACAATGGAAATTTCAATAAGATTTGTGAGACAACATTGTATGATGATGTAACATTTCTTTGCATGCCTGCCATATATTTTTTTTTAAGTTTTTTAAGTTTTTTGTGAACAAGCATTTTAAGAAAAAGTCATTGAACGCAGGTACTTAGCATTGGTTGCTGCTCTGGCTTCTGAAGCAGACTTCGTTTTCATTCCTGAATGGCCGCCAGAACGTGGTTGGGATACCAAGATGTGCAAAAAACTGCTCCAGGCAAGCAATTTCTTATTTACCATTCTCAAAACTTTCTTTTTGTCACTTTTTTAAAGTACTATAATCAAATTTTGGTGTAGAATTTTTTGAAGTTAGGACGTTGTTCTTATTGGGTACTATGTAGCTTTTTTTTGCTTTGTCTGCATGCTTTCCTGTACTATTTTATTTTCCTTTTCTTTGTAGTGTGCAATTTGTGATCCAGTATTGTTGCAAAGTAAAATTGATTATTTAGCGGCTAACAGCTAATGGATGCCCCTTTTCTGCTTGCTGTATTTTCCCCAGCAATACAAAAGGATTTAACTTATTCACACTGAAGCAAATATGTTTCATTCCTGATTGTTTTTCCTATTGTGCTGTTGGTTATACTCCCCAAACTTCTTGTGCATGAATTCATATCTTATATTCCCTATGTATGATGACAGATTTGGCTTCACAAGTGGTGGTATAATATGCGGGACTTGTAAGAGACTCAAATATGTTGAGCTTTATACAACCAAGTTACTATGTCCAAACTAGTCCTGGTAAAGAATACATGATGGAAGCCAGTTCCAGGAAATGTTATCTTCCTCTTCTTTTTTTTCTTTTTTCTTTTAATTGTGGCTGAGTATTACTCTATAACTGGCCCCCTTCCAGTGTATTCTCATCCAGCCTAGTTTTCCCTTGCAGTGCTTCCAATGTTTCAATTTCTTCCTTTAGGAGCGCTCTGCTGGACAGCGGTTGAATATCATCATTGTAGCTGAGGGAGCCATTGATCGTGATGGAGAACCCATCAGTGCAGAAAAGGTGAAGCAGGTTGTTGTGGACAACTTGCAACAAGACACCCGCATTACAGTTCTTGGACATGTGCAGAGAGGTGGTAGCCCTAGTGCATTTGACCGAGTTTTGGTACGTTCCGTTTGTGGAGAATATTGAGTTAATATTGCATCCATCCTGAGAGTCATTAACTTGAAATAAAAAATATTGCAGGGATGTCGTATGGGAGCTGAAGCTGTAATGGCTCTGATGGAAGCAACACCCGAGACAGAGGCGTGTGTCGTCTCCCTTGATGGTAACCAGGCTGTTCGCCTACCCTTGATGGAATGTGTGGAGAGGACCAAGGCTGTTGCGAAAGCTATGGCAGACAAGCAGTGGGAGAAGGCTGTTCAGCTGCGTGGCAGGAGCTTTGTCCGCAACTTGGAAACCTACAAGATGCTGACCCGGCTGAAGCCACCAAAGACAGCTTTTGATGAAGCAGGACGTGGGGTGGTAAGTGTCTATTATGGTTCAGGGAAATACTTGAATCGGTATTAATGGGACTGTCATAAGTGACACTTGACTGATGCATGTCATACAGCAGTACAAATAAACTCCCCAAAGCTTACTCCATGGCTTAAACTAACAACTAAAGGAAGTCTATAACCAAATCTATATGATCATAGTCCATGCACAATGTTCTTGATCTTTTAGAATTTTATGCACTAACATGCTTGAGGAGAAATAATTTTAGGTACCTCTTACATCTGAAATATCTCCTTCCTGCGTGTGTCTTATCTTTTCTGATACTTCTGCATCCTTATGTCTCTAGACATTGAACCTTGCTTTTTAACTAATAAGGCTTGGTCTTTGGATCCCTTTCAGGGCTTACTGAGCTATCTGAGATGTGGGCTGGATTAATTCATTCCTCCTATCCCTAGCTTTAAATCCTAATCGTACCTTACTTTCTGCATGTCATTATAATGCTTGTCTTCTCTTTCTATGCTTGCAGTCTGCATTGAAGAAGGTATAGTATTATTTTTATGGCTATTCATCCCAGTTAACAGTCTGGTGGCGTTTGTGTCTGAGCTAAAATTATCTTATGGTTCCATTCAATTGTCACACTACACAATTTTAAGTATGTCTTTTGTTCTGTTCCTCATAGCAAGACACATTGTGGGGACAGGTAAGGGAGATTTAAAAACATCTTTTTTCTAGAGTTTTTTTTATTGTTCAAAAAAAAAAGTACACTATGTTAGTCTAGCAATTTTTTAAGTGGTCTGAAATCCTTTGCTGTATCTGAACTATAAGAGGTCATGGTTTTGTTTCAAGTCAACTAAGAACCCTGTATGTGTATACCAATATGGGTCTGGGCCTCTAGGTGTCGTAATCTGTTTTCATCAGCAATCATGTGTGCACTTCCTGCATACACTAATATATTAAAAGTAATTTATTTGATTCTTTTTTCTAATAAAATGTTTTATGCCACCTTAGGAAGGCTACACTCTAGCCGTGATGCATATTGGTGCTCCTTCCTGCGGTATGAATGCAGCTGTTCGCTCCTTTGTCCGGAACTGCATCTACAGAGGTGACACAGTCTATGGCGTTCATGATGGTGTGGAGGGTCTAGTAGCTGGCAATGTACGTTTGGGAAAAAAAGTGTTTTCTTTTACTGTTGTAGTTCTTTTGTCTAAGAATTCTAAGATTTCAGGTTCAAATGATGGGCTGGTCAGATGTAACAGGGTGGGTTGGACAAGGTGGAGCTATGCTTGGCACCAAGCGCACACTTCCTGGAGCTAGGATGCCCCAGATTGCTGCCCGTTTGAAGGAATACAAAATCCAGGGTCTCCTCATTATTGGAGGCTTTGAGGTCAGTTTTCTCTATTCAATTCAAGTGTCTTAGAATTGAGTGTTGGACTTACTTAAAACCTAATTTTGCTTGTAGGCCTACCAAGCTGGTCTCCAACTCACAGAAAACCGGTCTCAGCATCCTGAGTTTTGCATCCCCATTGTAATCATCCCTTCAACCATCAGTAATAATGTGCCAGGCACTGAATTTTCACTAGGCTGCGATACTGCTCTGAATGAAATCACAGAGGTGAGTTTTGTCTTATTTTGACTCCGAAAGGCCCGTAAAATGATTGTCTACTTTTGAGATCACAATTTGCTTCCAGATTTGTGACAGAATTCGTCAGTCGGCTCAGGGTACCAAGCGGCGTGTGTTCATTATTGAAACAATGGGTGGATATTGTGGTTATCTGGCTACTGTTGCTGGTAAGTAGGCAGTGGTGGAAGAGAAAGTAACATGTTGTTGATACAATTAACCACCCACTTGTGTGTAGGTTTGGCTGGTGGCGCTGATGCTGCATACATTTATGAGGAGAAATTCTCCATCAAGGATCTTCAGCAAGATGTGTACCATATGGCATCTAAAATGGCAGAGGGTGTTCAACGTGGTTTGATTTTGAGGTAAATAAAATAATAATAAATTTCGCAGGCCTCTAGCTTGACCAACTTAAAATTCACCTATCAAAATTTAAATTTATTTGCAGGAATGAAAAATGTAATGAAAATTACAACACTGATTTCATCTATCGCTTGTACTCTGAAGAAGGCAAGGGACTGTTCAGTGCCCGTATGAATGTACTTGGTAATTTCCTTATGTTGTTCTTTGTATGCATTTTTGAAATGCTTGCGTATTTTTTAAAAATGATATGGTGTTGTTTTTTTGCAGGCCATATGCAGCAAGGAGGGTCTCCCACACCCTTCGACCGTAATATGGGCACAAAAATGGCAGCAAAGAGTGTGGAATGGATGGTGGGTCAGTTGAAGCAGCATTGCCGTGAGGATGGCTCAATCAATGTTAGCTCTCCTGATTCTGCTGTTATGATGGGTATTGTTCGCCGGCAATACAAATTTACTCCACTTCAGGATCTCAAGGCGGGGACCAACTTTGAGTAAGTAATTTTATGATCATACTAGCATGGCCTTAGACATCCTGAAACCCTTGTACTTTTTGAAGAAAGGTAAACTATACATGTATCATTGAATGAACTGCTTTTATCATTTATCAGTCTTGCTATTTGCAAGATTGAATGTTACTTTTAATTGCATCTTCAGCAATATGCTTGAAAAATAAGGTCCATGTTCATTTTTCTTTTCTGTAGATAATTTAGATAACTATAAGACCTTAGTTTAGTTTTTCTCTGTTCATCATTTGTAAAGTGTTAGTAAAGCATCATTTTATGCACAACTATGCATTGGCTGATTGAGGCATGTTGGATTTAGATGATCACATTCACTTGAGCACACATTGTACTGCTTTGGAGGTGATTGCATGACACATTGGTATGTTGTAGGCACCGTATCCCACAGAATCAGTGGTGGTTGAAGCTGAGGCCACTATTCCGCATCCTCGCTAAGCATGAAAGTGCTTATGTGGAAGAAGGGATGTACATAACGGTAGAAGATGGCAAACCCACAGACCTCACTCACTTCATTTAGGCATGTGAAACAACTGAACCCTTTTTGTTTTTGCATGGCATTGTGGCGTATTTTGTGTCATAAATTCAACTGATTTTGTTTTAAGATTACTTATTACTTTAAATTTGTTAGTTAACCTATTGGTAACCTTTTTTTTTGCTCATCATTACTTTTCTTTTCTTTCATGTTAAGAAAGCAATGCTTAATGTATCATTGTGTGTATATGTCATTGTCTATAAATGTAATTATTGTGTTCATCTGTTCATGATTCCTTCTGTTACAACATCTGACTACATGGCTATTTGTGTGTTGCAGTCAACGCATCCCCAAGGTTCAGTGGTGGCTGAAGCTTCGACCGCTATTGAGGATTCTAGCCAAACACGACAGTGCCTATGAAGAGGAAGGATTGTATATGACAGTGGAGGAGGGCGCGGAGGCAGATTCAATTGTAGTTTGATATCTTTAGAAAATTGAGGGATAGTTCAACTCCTAACATGCATAAATTTTAAATTATATGTAAAATATTTTTCATTTTAGCCTTCTGAAATCTTTTGTGTTTTGCCTTGCGAAACATTGTGTTTCACATTGTTATGAGTGGCATCCGTAGTAAGTCAGTCTGTAGTCGCCCCAGTAGATGTAATGCTTGTTATGTTTCATCAGACAATGTTTGTGGAATCAAAGCATGACTTTTATTATAAATTTATTTCAGGCCTAGTCCATCAACCCAGTGAAGCTTCCAAATCTTTATCATTAATAAGAAGTAAATTTAAAGAATTGCCTTTGGATATCTTGTGGTGAAGTCAGTCTTAGTGCTTTTGCCCATTTGCTTCACTTTTTGCCTTCTTGATGTGACCCTTTTACTAGTATTACCAATTTTGAAATGTGGCACTGGCCAATGGTTTAACATGTGAGCATGAAGTGCCTTTAGTCACTGTTGAATGCCATCTCTCTTGTGTGTTCTCTGCTAGATTGGATTTTGTATTTTTTGTTTTAATCAATCTTATAGATCAATTGCACTTTTCTCCTATCACTTTATTAATTTCCTCCAATGTTGTAAAATGTCTTTGTTTTAAAATAAATTTTATTGAATTTTATTTTCATAAACAGTTGTTTGAGAATCTTTTTGTTTAGTATGAACTTTATTTTTGTTGAGTGACAGATGTCTTTATTTTTTTGATATTAGTGTGATATTATTCTTTTAGCTTTAATTTTGCCATTTAATTCTCCATAAGTAACCAATAAATCAAATATGAAGTCTCATAGTTCATTTGGTATAATCTGGGGATTACACATCCTGTAATTTGATGATCAGCATCCACTGAAGGATTCGCTTGGTGTAGCAAAAATTTAGCTAAGATGAAGTAAATGAGTGGTGTATTCTGCCATATACTGTATTTTTATTGTAGTGACTACCTTGTGTATATCCTAACAAGTAAACATTTCCTCCAGCTCAAGTTGTGCGGCGGTTGAGTCATGTATTGAAAGAAGTTCAAACTGAAGTGGTCAGATGGTTGTAAATGTGTTTGTCTAGTCTCATTTGAAAAGGGCATCTCCATTTTAGAGAAGGCATCTTCTGATTTAAATTAGCAGTATTGAGGAGCCGCTTTGATGCAACTTGTACCTAATCTGTGTTTAGTGATTTGTGTAAAATATACAGTTAGTTGACAAATAAATAAGATTTTAGTTGCTTGTCAGCCAAAAATCAGCCAATGAGATGGAATCTACCTCTACTTGGTTGCAACAGGGGGCTGGCTCCCCAGTCTTCACTCTGTGAAATTATGAAAGTGTTCGATTTTTGGAGAGTTTATGCTCAATAAAATTGAAAATATTGAGCTGAACAGTGTACATTATTTTTTGCCTGCACATTACACAGCATACAGAAAACGCAGATAAACAATATTAAAAACACCATTTAATCTCAAAAATGCCAGTTAGAAACTGATCAAGTCTTTTATAAATAAATGAAAATACAGGGATGGAAGCATCAATTACTTAGCCTTAGCGGCTGCTCTTGTCCTTAAAGTTTTCTTAGTGTTTTGGTCCACTTCAGGCAAATCATCATCTTCTCTTTTTTCTGTAGAAATAAAAATTATCAATGAGTCAAAAATTTAAATGAGTCATTTTCTTGTCACTCCTTTTACTGAAACTGAAGCATACCTTCTTTCTTAATTTTCTTCACAGTCTTCTTATCGATTTTCGCCTTTGGCTTGCTGGAAGCATCAAGTGCTTTTTGTTCACGCATTTGCTGAAGCTGTTCCGTGATGAAGTTCCACATGAAATACGCTTGAATAGCACAAATGCTAGCAAGAACACTCAACCTGCGATTAAAACAGAATGATTGAACACAGTTGAAGAGGAGACCAGATTAAATGTTCATGACGATATTATCATGTTCATAAAATATTACCTGACAGTCTTAGTGTTGAAGTTCCCCTCTGCCACATTAATAATCTGGTTGTCACTTAGAGCAAGGCCATACCAGAAGGTAAGGACAGACAAAATTATTGAGCCCAGACGAACTAAGACGAACATACTGTTAGAAGCCATGTGGGTACCTAAAGAGCAAATTAAAAGGACAGTGGCAATTTAATTACAGCATGTAGAGAAATCTTAAGCAATGAATAAACGACTTTCTAATTTTGCTATTACCTTTGGAACCATTATCATCTTTGTCAAGATAATCTACAATACGAGCAACATGGTACAAAGCTTCAGACATGTAGTGGAGGGTCAACAAGCAAATACCAACTCGGTTTAGGCTAAAAGAAATCGTGAAAAAAAAAGTAAAGAAAGAAAAATATGATAAAGAAAAATTTTGATTCGATACATACATGCATCTTTGTGAGAAAATTACGATACAGCTAACAACAGGTGATTTTACTCACTTCAACAGATAAATGGCAGAAATAGCAACAATGCCCAAGGTAGCGGTCTGAATGTGTTCGGACATCTCCTCACGCTTAACCTTCTGGAAGTATAACTCAGGGAAGCAGTGCACCCAATATGAGAGTTGCACAATAAAATAGAACTTAAAAGTGAACATCATAGTGGAGTGAGGATATCCTTCCCAGAGAGAAGTGACATTGAGCAACAGGTTTTGCCTGGAACAGGAAATTATCATGAGAAGTTGTACACAGTTCCCAAATTTCGATCAATAAAAATAATTTAATGGACGATGCATTTACCTTAAGATGATGTCAATACCCCAAACAATAGAAATGAGGTAGAAAACCAAAAGTTGACCAGATTCATTAAACTTGCTGTGCTTGGCCTTGGAAAGGTGCAACTTCTTGGTGACTTTCTGTAATAAAAATGGAATCACATTGAGCAAGGTGTACGTAATAAAAACATAATAATAAACATCAAATTTGCGTTGAGAATGTACATACGTCGAGGAAGTATTCCTGGAGGATGGCATGCATAATAATGCAGATAAGGCAGTAGTAGAAAATTGTGCAAAGATCCTTGATACCATAGGTGTACAAAACATCCAAAGGCCCATCATTGGGATCTTGGAACTCTGGTGACTGTGTGACATTGTGGTGGATTCCGATGAAGGTGAAAGCCAGAGATGATGTAGCCTGGACAGAAAAGACAGGCCTAAGGATTAAAACCGTTTCTCTTTGATTCACCTCCAAGAAGATAGCAAAATGTTAAATTGAAATTTGGGGGGAAACAATTTGTGATCACAGGAGGTACGTTTATTACTTTGTAACTATACTGACATTCATCGTACACAGATGTTTGTAGAAAACCAATTTGGACTTACACAATTGGAGGGTCTCACTTCAGACACAGTAGGGAAAAGAACAAAACAAACATTCTTGACATGGCTAGGTTCTCGTGCTGAACATGTATCACCTAGAGGTCAAGCACTAATATTTAAAGGGCCAATACCGTTACATATGTTCAGAGGTTATGTGACGTCTACAATATTGAGGGGCGAACCGGCAACAGGCCGGTGCTTTCACAGCTGGACATTCACTATCACGTGTTTAAAATGAGCAAGGGTGGGCGTGATTGTTTGACAAAGGCTGACATTCCGAGTACTTATCTAAATCTGCCTCCCATACGCAAGTCTGTTTACGTTTTGCAGCGAGTGAAAGAAGTCAACTTACCTGGATCATCAGACCAATGATAAACACCATCGCGATACAGGACACGATGTCCGGGTGATTTTGAATGAAAAACTCATGACTGAGTATTGCTGGACTTTTGGACGCTTTTCTAGGTTTGATAGGCATTTTATGCATTGGGCGTCTTTCTTCCAATCCGAGGTAGAAGCAGACGCCAGCTGGTGTGAGCTGGGCCGGAGTCGGAGTCCTGCACCAAAGTGCCCTGCCAGCAAAAATGCCAACAGTACACTTCGTGGCGAGAACCGGTGTTGCGTACCACGCTGGTGGAGCGCAAGACCAAATATTTATCAGGTCACCAGAATATGGGGCCCAACGCGAGAAGAAAGACATACAGTAAAATACTGTGCTACGCGGAGAACGAAGTTCGACAATCTAGGTGTGAATAGGTGTCTGCGTTTCGCAGAAACACCTCTTCTTGGCAGAGTCGATTTTGAACGAGGGCGCGCGCCGCCACGCGTAGCGTCAGCGCCACGCGATAGGCCGACAGGCCGGACTCGGCACTGCTCGAGTCAGCCGCGGTCTCCGTCGCACTCGCACGCACAGCCGGGCCATGAGTGCAACAGAGATGGGACCTCGGTGCGGTTTGTACGTGGACAAAGAAAAATAAAATAAAATGAATGGGAGAGTTGGGCGGCGCGGAAGGGGAAAGCCTGCCGGCCTGCCGGCCACAGCCACACGCGCCCGGTGTGACCCATCAGACCGGGCGGATGCTGGCGAGGTCCGGCTTCGATGATAGAAAAAATTAAAAATACTCTACGGCCCTTTTACCTCGCCACTCCCGATTGAACTCACTTCCTTTCGCCAGGGAGTTGCCTTCTCGCTCTACTACTGCCCGCTCCTCGTGTCTATCTTGAATTAGGTACCAATTCACCATCGAACTGCACAGTCACTAGTAGAGGGAAGTCCTGTCGTTTCTCCTACTCGTTTCTAAACTTGTCAATAAAACGCCCGTGGTACGTAGAATGAAGGGCGTGGATTAGAAATTGAATCTTTTTAACACCTTGCCATTGCCCTGTCACAGAGAAGTCCATGCGGCAAATCCATTCCTCTGAGTCGTTTTCGAACGCAGCCCTACGGAAGTTGGCACTACAGTCTCGCAGTCACACACAGCAAGGCGGAGGAGCACCCGGCCGGCGGGTGTAAACAATAACAAAAATACGCGCACGATGACAACCTCCAAAACTGACCAGATCGTCTCGTAGACCGCTTCGTCAAAGTGCCCAAAGTGCTCTAGGCCCGACCGAGGTGCCGCTGATAAATAATAAAATTGTGTGATGTATTCGAGTTGCGGCCGCGACGCGGTGCTGCTGCCGCTGGCTTGCCGAGGCCGGGACGTCCGGGAACGAGACCAAGGAGTCCAGCAACACCTGCAAACGGCAGCCGTCAGCGTCCACGCCGTCGACGGAGTCTACGGATGATATGGAAAGGGGAGCCGTCTCGGCCAACAGCAGTGAGTACTCGAGTGCAGCGAGTCGACGAAGACGGAAAGGAGAGCCTTGAGGCACTTTTCTCTTTCCCTTCCAGCAGCACCTTGACAACTCGAACAGGGCGGCGTGCGGCTTCCACTCGCAGAGCGAGCGGCCGAGCGGCCTTGGCCATTGTGTCGGTGTCCAGGCCCTCCAGGCGGCAAGACTCATTTTCTTCCTCCGATTTTCCGGCCGCAGAGAACTTGTTTTGGCCGGACGGAGGGTGAAGTCCGGTCCAGCGTCCCAGTTCGGGCCAAGTTGTTTGAGGGGGGGGGGGCTCTCCAGCCTTTACAGCCTCCAGCGAAGGTAGGCAAAACGCGGGACTTCTGTGGCGCCTCGCGCCCCTCGAGCACCCCGTGTCCTTGTGCCCCTCGAACCAAGTCGGGCGTTCCCCCCTCGCCGCCCCTCCCTTCCATCGCTGGTCGGCGTCCAGGTCAGTGGAGGAGGAGGAGGCGGTCGAGGTTGTCTTTGGCGTGTGTGTCGCCGTGCAGCCCCACCCGGCCCCGCCGCTCGGCCGCCCGTTGTCCGAGTCTCGGGGCACTGTGCCCTGCTGTGCCCTGCTGTGCCCGTCCCGTTCCGCGCCGTCTCGGCCAAGCCGATCCCCGAGCCTCCCCGTGGCCGCCGTGCTCCGCCGCCCCGCCGTCCCGCCCGTCGCTCCGCCCGCGCCACTGCCACCGCACGCGTAGCGCGTAGCTCGCTTGGGCCAGACAAGGCTCGAGGCCTATGGCGGGCCTATGGGCCGGGGCAGCCCCGGCGGGCAGTTAGCAGTCGGCTGCCGTGTCTGGAAGATGGGAGACCTCCTCGACCGCCGTGCCCCACATGTGCTCCAACGCCTCGTCGGGGGCCGGGGCGGCGGGGGCGATGGTGGCGGGGGCAGGGTGTGCGTCCCTGGCGGCACCCTTAGCACCCCTGGCGCCTGTCGCCCACCCCTTGTACCCGGTGGCCCCGATCGCACCCGCCTTGGCCTCCTGGCCGCCTGACTACGTCCTGGATAGAAGAATCACCGATTACCATGGTACGTCACCATCACCCTGGAGCGCCTGGAGTCTAGGCCCGCGCTGGTAGCGTGTGCTCGCGACTGGACCCTCTTGTTTGACCTTCGTCTGGCGCGTGCCCTTGTCACTCCAGTGTCACCCCCGTGTCACTCGAGTGTCACGCACGAGTCGCGATAACGATGTGCGCCTTACTCCAGAGCTATTTGCCTTTGAGTCGTGCCCATACTTGTGCCAGGTGTCGCGTCAACACCTCCACGACTTGATAATTTCCTTTTAGTTTGGTTCATTCTCGGCAGCGTGTGTGTGCCCATGGAGTGCCCTCTGTCGTGGCATGGACTGGGTGGTCTGGTGGTGGGGCCCGGCCCGACCGGCTTGGGTGCACGGACCAGGGAGGAATGTGACAGTGTGACAGTCCGACAGTCACACGCGTCTTAATCGTCTGCCCTTCCCCCTCCCTTATCGTCCAGCGCCTCCCCCCCCCCCCCCCGCGTGTCTTGAGCACCGAGGGGAAAAGTACGCGCGCCCGCACACTTACGCACGGCTAACCCGGGCAAAACCGAAGCGTGTTTGTAATGTAATGCGAGGCGGGTGTGATTGGTGGTTAACGGTTCTGGGCCGTCTGTGCTGCCGTCAGCAAAACGCTCTGGGGGCGTGCGCGCACACTGTGTGACTGTCACTGAGGCTCGTATCGGCGATGATGCTTTCGACAGAGTGCACGCGGCAGCACTTCCTATTCCCGTGCTATTTCGATGGGCGGCCGGTGCGCGGCACGCCGGCAGTCCCGATGCCTCTAACGACACACTTGCTTACGGCCTCCTGCGGTCTCATCCTCCGAACGCGCTGTCTCTCTCGCACGCGTGGGGCGCTCCACGGGGGAGCGAGAGAGACAGAGCGACTTTTCGGAATCAGCCTGCAGACGCTGCCGGTGCCAAAGTATTGCTGGTTGACTCAGCCCGGCCCGCCCTTGGGGCCGTCCCAGTGCCGAGGTTTCGCGGCGGTTTGACTCACCCCCAGGTGTGGTGACGGAAGGGTTGCCGACTGCCTGGCCTTCATCGCCACTGCCAGTCGTAGGAGAAGACGCCTAAGTTTCTTACGCCCCGCCATGCCCTTCGCGTCCCGCTGCGCTTGGCCGTAGGCTGGGTTGCCTACCCGCGCCCTGCGAGGCGGCGCCCCTAGCGAGGCGCCGGTCGGCAACCCAACCGCCACGCGTGCCCAGCGCGTTGCGTGGGTGCTGCGCCGGGCGTGCTGAGGGAAGCCGCGACGCCGGCCGAGTGAGCGCGGTGCGGCCCGGACGCCCCGACCCGACGCGCATTCCTGGTAAAATGAAAGAGAAGGCACGGCGGGCACGTCCGGTGCGGTCCGGCGCCTCCGACGCGGCGCGCGACGCCGAGGATCCAGGATTCCCGCCGCCAGCGACTCTTTTTTTCCGTTTCCGCAAAAATTGAAGTGCATGCGCGGCGTCTGCTTGCTGACCTCGACGACGCGCTGCATGCGCTGCGCTGCACTCTGCTCTGGGCGGAGGAGGCGGGAGGCGTTGGCGAGCAACTACTCTTCTTTGACGGGGTACCTTTCGCAACGCCGCCACACGCCGGCCTAGCCACGCCGCCTCGCCGCATCGCCGCTACGCCGAACACAAGTCGTATATCCGTCGGCGACAACCCTCCCCTCCCCTCCCCCGCCCCCAACCTTCTCAGGTGCGCGGGCATTGGTTACGTCCAGGGGAGTGATTCCCAACAGTGCTTTCGTCGGCCTGTCTCTCTCGGACTCACACGGGACGCCCCACGAGTGCGAGGGAGAGGACTTCCACTTGGGATCAGTCTGCCGCCAGCGTCATGGGTCGCGGATTTTCCCTCCCTGTGCGAATTTGGCGCGCCGCCCTTGTGTGTCTCTCTCGCACTCACGTAGCTCTCCGCGAGGGTTCGAGAGAGACAGAGACTGGCCTCCTGCTTCTGCTTTGGAATGGGCTCGCTGCAGACTGCAGTGTCCGCCACTGTGCCGGCAGCCCACCTACCCGTGGCGGCGCCGCGCAGCTCCGCACCCTGCCCTCCCTTCCTCGAGTGGGCGGCCTTCTTCAGTTCATAAAACCTGACACTGAATCCACCCCCACGGCCCTGCCACGGCCCTGCCGCCGTCGGAGCACCCACGTGGGACTGGGGCACTCCTTGAAGGGGACGGGGCAGCGGGGCGCCTTACTGTTGGTCACTGTCCTATGTACTATCACTCAGAAGAAATGAGCCCGGGGATACTGCATGCGCAAGCGACTGCCCGAGTTGGCAGTCACGTGGGCGCGGAGTTCCGCCTGGCTTATTTCTATGGAGGCCGGCCATTAGAATGCTACTTGCCTCTCTCGGTGCGCGGTGCGCTATTTTCTTGTGGTGCCGATGCCGCCGCGTGCGCGCATTGCGACACTACACTGCAGTCTTGTCCGCACCTGCGTGGACTCCGCGACCGCCGCGCCACTGCAAACAATGCCAGCGACCGGACCGGCGGGTTGCTTTCTTGATTTGCGCGCCGCGAGCACGTGTTGGCGATACTCCGCGCATGGGGGGCGCGCGTGGGGTATGGACGCGGGGCCGCCGTCAAGCCAATTGGCTAATGCATGTGCCCTGTGTGGAGGATGCCCTTCGCCTTCAACGTCCTCCTTGAGGTGATGGATGGGCGACAGGCGCAGCAGGGCGACCAGGGCCGCCAGGGAAGGGAAGGGATTTCTGCTTGCCTTTACCCAAGCCAAACTCGGGCTGCACGGGGCGCGGCCACAGGGCCTCGGTGACGTCTGCGCGACGTCAGAGCCGCCCCGGTGAACGCCCTCGGGCAAACAGCCCTCGCGGCCCGGGCCCCGGGTTCGAATCCCCGCCTGACTCGCCGTTTTTTGTCGTCTTCCAGGCGCCGCTTGCCCGTACCCGCCGTCCGTGCTGGACTTCCTGCCGCTGCGCGGCGTGGACGCGAGCACGGTGGAGGAGAGCTGGCCCTGCGAGGTGCGCGCCTACTGGGTGCTGGACCTGCAGCCCTTCGTCGCCTTCGTCCGCTTCATCTACGCCTACTTCACGCTGCCCGTGGTGCTCATCGGTAAGGACCATGTCGCCTCTCGGACTGCCTCGCCGCACTGCGCCACTGACCCCGTTCCTCCTCTCCGCAGGCATGGTGCTGAACGTGTTCGCGCTGCGCGTGTGGTCCAGCCGGCCCATGCGCGGCACCAGCTTGGCAGTGTACCTGCGCGCCCTGTCCATGTCCGACATGGGCGCCCTCATCTTCACCTACTTCCTCGGCTACTGGCGCTCGCACCACCCCGCCTTCAACACGCTCTTCTTGGTGAGCAGCTGTCTCTGTCGCACTCATGGGGCTCTCCGTGCGGGTGCGAGAGAGACAGAACGACATACCGCTCTTCTGGTTACGCGAAATCCACCCCCTTTCTGATGCGTTTGCCGGTCGGCCTGTTTGGTGTGCGCAGAACAACGAAACCGTGTGCCGCATGCACAAGATCCTGGTCTCCATGTTCCCGATGACGTCCCAGTGGCTGCAGACGGCGCTGACGGTGGAGCGCCTGCTGGTGGTGTGGCGGCCGCTGCGCGCCAGGAACCCGGCGTACCCGCAGGTGGCGGTGCGCGCGGCCAGACGCACCGTGGCCGTCGTGTACATCACCCTCATCCTGGTGGCCCTCACCAAGTGGCACTTCTCAGGTATGGCCGGACTTTCGCCCGGGAAACCCCCGACGGTCTGGAACGCGAACGACGCGAACGCACAACGCGCTCCCAGAGCCGGTACATTTCCATTTAATCTGCCCTCACCCTCTCCTCGCCTCGAGAATAAATATGTCAGTCTAATTGAGCTGATGGACGCGCGCTGCTCGCCGAGCCGTCTGCGGGCCGCGGCGTCCACGCCGAGGGCGTCGTTGGCGTCGTTGGCGCGCCGCGGCCCTCCCCGCCGCCCGCCTCGCCGGGGCTTCCCTGGCCGCCCGCGCCGCCCGGCGGCAGCGGCGAGTGCAGCTGCACGTCGTCCACCACGAAGTTGTACAGCACCTCGCGCGGGTCGTTGGCGAACAAGTAGTCCATGTGGTTGAAGGTGGGGTGCGGCACCTCGAACACCGAGGACACGTTCTTGAGCCGGTCGAACAGCCACAGGGCTTCCTGCGCCGGGAGGCCGGGAGGGGGAGAGAGAGAAAGAGATTACGAGTGGAAGAAAGCACCGTGTTATCTACGAGACAGGCGGCGTTTTTATGCAGCTTTCATTTTAAGACCGCGCTGCTAGTTTCCCTGTCTGAGATTGCTCAACGTTGCGGAGCAGACGGAAGCTGATAGGGGCCATGCGACACCATGCGTCACCCACCGCCACTACCGAGTTCAGGACTCGAGTGAGACTTTCGCCTCGCCCGAGATAAAGGCATTGCTACTGTGGCAGTGTACTGACTTGCGAGCCGCTGATGAGGTCGTTGTTGGCGTACACCAGTGTCAGGGGCACCTTGATGGCGGCCAGGTTGTAGGACGCAGTGGCGTGGTGGCCGCCCTGACCCGCCCCCGCCGGGCTCGTCCCCCTGACGAAGGCCTCTGTCAACACGCCGAGATAACGGTCGGACTGATGAAATGAGCGATACCGTTCCGCGTTTGCTGCGTTTCTGATTCCGAACCGGGTTTCTGTCTCTCTCACACTCACGGGCTGCTCCTTACGAGTGCGAGAGAGACAGAGCGACCGAGTTCGGCATCAGCCTGATGGCTGTGTAATAATGGGCGATGCGGCGGAGTCAACTGGTGTGCGTGAGTGTCGCTGCGTGTCCCCTTTCTCCCATTAATTGAAAAGGACGTTACCAGCGACCAGACACTCGCTCAGATGGATGAGCGTCCTGACGGACGCGCCCGACGCGTACTGGATCATGATCTGAGGCAGCAGCTCCTGCCGACCCAAACGAACAAAGCCAGATAAAAGAGTGTCGCAAATAAAAAGAGTGGCGAAACAAATGTCGGCGTGGGAACGCGGCTCGGAGTGCACTCACGGCGTCGAAGAGGTCCGGGCTGTGGCCCGCCACTGCGAACACCGCCAGCTTGCACATGTCGGCCGTGGGTGCGCCGGGGTGGCAGAGCAGCGACATCGCGCGCGACGTGAAGCCCCCCATGACCAACACCTGCTCCAGGCCCAGCAGCTGCAACAGGCGCTGCGCCGCGACAGCCGCGAGCACCGTGCCACTGTACTGGGCCGCCCAGGGGGTGGGGTCGGCGGGGCGGTCTGGGAGGCCTTCTGCCCCCTCCACTCACCCCCACGACGTGGCCGTAGTGGGCCAGCACGCGCAGGAAGGGCGAGGCGACGCCCCGCAGCGAGGCGACGGGCCCCAGCAGCACGGCGTGGCGCACCAGGGCGTTGTCCTCCGGCCGCTCCGCCAGCAGCGCCAGCAGCGCCGTCGTGCCCAACGAGTGCCCCACCACGGTCACCGGGCCCGGCGCGTTGGCGTGCACCTCGGCCAGCATGGCCCTCAGGTCCAGCACGCCGTGCTCGTGGAAGCTGTGCCGGCCGCCGCACGCTCAGAGCGCCTGGAGGGTAGGCAATGCGGGCGCCGGTGTGCGGCGGGACTGCCTACCCGCCGGGCGCCTGGAGGGTAGGCAATGAGGACGCCGGTGTGCGGCGGGACTGCCTACCCGCCGGGCGCCTGGAGGGTAGGCAATGAGGACGCCGGTGTGCGGCGGGACTGCCTACCCGCCGGGCGCCTGGAGGGTAGGCAATGAGGACGCCGGTGTGCGGCGGGACTGCCTACCCGCCGGGCGCCTGGAGGGTAGGCAATGAGGACGCCGGTGTGCGGCGGGACTGCCTACCCGCCGGGCGCCTGGAGGGTAGGCAATGAGGACGCCGGTGTGCGGCGGGACTGCCTACCCGCCGGGCGCCTGGAGGGTAGGCAATGAGGACGCCGGTGTGCCGGCGGGACTGCCTACCCGCCGGGCGCCTTCCTCCCTGTCCCTCCGCCGTTTGCCGCTAATTGGTTTCTGCACGGAGACGCCTGCTTATCGGCCGTTCTCCTCGCGAGCCACTTGAATCGGTTTGGTTAATAGTTGCATCGGAGAGGGTATCTGCGCATCGCATGCAAGTGGCCGCAAGTCCATCGACCCCGCGGGGCCGGCAGGCTGCGACGCTCCGTCTCTGTCGCACTGCAGCGGAGCGGCCCACGTGGGCGAGAGAGACAGGGCACCACTTGGAAATGGGCACTGACCTGTAGTTCCAGAAGGCGGCCTGCAGCGTGGTGATGTCCCGGTGGCCGAGCGAGTAGGGGTTACCCCTGAAGTTGGCGAGCCACACGTCGTAGCCCGCGTCGTAGAGCTGCAGGGCTGCCCTTGCGGTGGAGAAAGGGAAAGGGCGCCTCGCGAGTCGGTATTCGAACCCGGGACCTCGGCGTGGGTGGCTTACCGAGCGACCGGTCCGGGCCGGCGAGCAGCCACTCGGCCGACGAGCAGAACAGGCCGTGCAGCAGCAGCACGGCGGGCTTGCCCTGCGCCGGCACGCGGTGCAGCACCAGGATGTGGCCGTCGGCCGTCTCCACCTGCCACGTCTCCGCCGGGTAGTCCCAGCGCTCCAGCAGTTCCACCTGCGGCGCGAGGTCGCGGGTTCGAGTCGCGGCGCCGCCGTCCGTTTTCATTCCTCTCGCCCTACGCACCGTGGACAGCGGCTGCGGGAAGGCGCTGGTCCAGCCGTCCGGGATGAAGAGGGACGCGGCGTCCATGGCGTTGTGGAGCATCTCGGCGATGCGGCTGTGGGCGGCCATGTCGCCGGGGGGCGGCGTGGAGGCCGCGGCCCCGGGGCCCGCCAGCCCGACGGCTAGCACGGCCGGCAGCAGCCAGCACGGCCAGGCTGTGCAGGGCAGCATGGCGCCGGCCGGGCCGGCACTGCGGCGCGCGGGGAGGGAGTGTGGGCGGGGGTCCGGGGCAAGGCCGACAAGGCCGGCAAGGCGAAGGGGAAGCTCTTATCGCACTGGGGCCCACGCACTTCGGGCCGTGCCGATGTGCCAGGTGTGGATTCACTGCCTATTTGCCGCGCCTCGTTACGTGCTCACTGTTTAGTAGGAAGTTTGCCGCCCTGGATATTGTGCCCCCAAATGATCCTTTTCGAGACCGCCTTGGAGGTGACGCGGTTGCACTGGGTGCAAAGCGAAAAGTGGTCCTCTCCTCACTGTCCACTCTCTGCTCGCAGGCTTCGAGCAGTACAGCGCCTTCGACTACCAGCGCTGCGAGCACAACAGCCACAGCTCGGTGGTGGCGGTGTACGTCTACGTGGCGCTCAGCACCTACCTGCCCGGGACGCTCATCTTCGTGAGCAACGTGATGCTGTTCCTGAGGCTGAGGCGCTCCGACTCACTGCGGCGGTCGCTGTTCGGTGAGCTATCCCGCGAACGGTGTGCTGTCGCTCTGTCTCTCTCGCACCCCCGCGAGACGCTCCTCGAGTGCGAGAGAGACAGAGCGACGAGATGCCTGTTCGGGGCCAGGCCCGGCTGACGGCCTGCTTGTGCTTGCAGCGGGCACGGCCCACGACGGCGCGTACTACAGCAGCGACGCGGCGGCGCGCACGCTCGTGCTGTTCTCGCTGCTGTACCTGCTGCTGCAGCTGCCGCTCGGCGTGGTGGAGACCGTGGAGCTCTACTGGGACGTGTCGCTGTACCGGCCGCCGTCAAGCAGTGGCGCCAAGCGCGAGGCCTACATTTTCTGGTGAGTCGGGGGTGGGCCGGGCTGGGCGCCCATCTGTCGAAGTACGAAACTCTTTCGGAAATAACTGTCTTCTCTTCGTTGCAGGTTGTGCCGGAAGCTGCAGCTCAAGTGGTCCCGCAGCCTGCTGTTCTGGCTGTTCCAGCTCAGCTTCGTGCTCAACTTCGTGGTGTACCTCAAGTCGGGCGGCCGGTTCCGCGTCGTGGCCAAGGACATGGCCTGGCAGTGGCTGAGCTGCGGCCTCACGCCGCTGCGCTCGGCGGGTCGCTCGGCGGGCCGGTCGCTGGTCTGGCTGCCGCGCTGCATCGGCCGCTGGTCGTCGGCGTCCTCGCACGCCGCCGCCTACGCCGTGCCCGGGGAGTACGGCGCGGCCGCCTGCTGCCGCGTGGCCCCCGAGATGACCACCGTCTCCGACCACCCTGACGTGACGCTGTCCACCACCCTCGCCACCGCCACCGCGCCCATGAGCGCGAGCGGCAGCACGGGTAGCTTCAGCAGCGACAGCAGCGGCAACCAGGCGACGCCCGGCGGGTAAGGACGTACTGCCTCTCTCGCACCCAAGGAATGCTGCATGAGTGTGAGAGAGACAGAGCGACTGTTGGGGATTCCTTCGTGCTGACGCACTCTGTGTTGCAGACTGAGCCTGTGCTGGCGTCCCGTGCGGTCCAGGATGTCCAGGCCGCGAGCTCGGACCAACTCGTGCCCGCACCGGTGCGCGCTGCGCCGCTCCTCGCAGCGCTCGCCGTCGCCCTCGTCGGCGCGCTACAGTCCTTGCCAGCCCTGCCGCCGCGCCAGGATTCACACCTGGACCACGTTCGTGAGGTCCGTCTCGCCGCGGCCTCGCTCGGCAATCCAGAGGGGCCGTGGTGACGTTCCGCTTTCGTGTTGCAGGGCCCACCAAGGGCTGCTGGGGCTCGGCCGCACGGCGCGGCGCACCTGCACGACGACCAGCTTGACGCCGCTGACGGCCAGCAGCGAGGTGGACACCGACGTGGACTCTGTGTTCGGCTCGCCGCTCTTCGCCGTGCACCAGCGCAGCCAGCAGCAGTGCCAGGACCTTGGCCAGGGCACGCCGCCGGGCCGGGACTGCAGGGACTGGGCGTCGCCGCCCCTGCACGACCTGGACAGCGCGGCCTACGTGAACCCCGCTTTCCTGCAGCCCCTCCAGGACGCTGGCGCATACCGCTCCCAGGACCTGCTCGCAGTGCCGCAGGACCCCGTCGGCGGGTCGTTCTGCGTTGATGCGTCGCCCTCACCGCAGGACTTCCTGAGGGACAACCCCTTCCTCGGATGCTTCAGCAGCAGCAACAGCTTCAGCGGGCCGTCCCTGTCTCTGCCGCACCCCGTGCAGCACCCCGTGCCGCTCCAGGACGTCCAGGACGCGGGCCTGTTCCGCAGCGAGCGGGCGCTGCACGTCGCCGACGGCCTGGACACGAGCACTAGGACCTTCAGGACCAGCAGGAGGCTCGAGCGGTACCTCAGCGAGCCGCACCGGTGACACGACGCCAGTCTCGAGGCGGCTGGGCCGTGTTGACTAGATTGCGTAATAGGAAGCGCGAGTTGCTGTGCGTGAGCAGGGCCCGTCGTCACTCTGTTTTTAATTTTATACGTATGAAATGATTGAAGTAGTATTTGTTGTTGTTGTTTTTGTGGTAGCTTACGTATACCGACTAGTTTAATTTTCGGCGGAACCACCGCTCCCTGTGATACAAGGCATATCTCAAGTCCCATTTTCATCGTCTTATCCTTTCCCGTGTTTTACATTTGCATGTTACTATGTGTTCATTTTATCGTCTTTACTTTTGTGTGACCCGAGCAGAGGAACTGCAAAGCACCTTATATGCTGAGTTTTAAACGAACATAAGAGTACAAGGAGTGATGTGTTATGTGTTGACGTGCAATGGCTACTGTATGTGTTGGTGAATAGATGTGTCTACTCGATGAGTATTATTAAATGATGCCTACGTCAGCACGGCGACTCCGTACTTCCTGACCTACCCCTTGCCTTAATCCTCCACCTGACCTGATAGGGTCGGGACCCGCAAAGGAAACTCGGGACAACCGGCCTCTGCCCCACAGTGTGGGTGCCGATACGACCGAGGCCAGGCCCAGCCCAGGCCCAGGCCCGGCCGAGGGCAGCGCTTGCCCCCTACTTCGCTTGCTCCCCGCTTCAGTGCGTCGGGCTGGCTGCATCCGGACGGTGGGTCGATTCGATTCGAACGCAGCCCGACGCCAAATGCACTGCCACTGGCTGCTACTGTGTCTGTGTGTGTGTGTACAGCAAGCAGTGTTATCTGGTATAGGCTTCCCTGCCCCGCCCCGCCCCGCCCCGCCCCGCCCCTTCCGGGCGCCCGCTTGCGCCCGCCCCACCACCGCGGACGATCGCGGACGGCGGCGTCCGCGTCGCGACGCCTCGTGGGGACGGGACGGGGACGCGCGGCGCCGGTGCCGCTTCAGTTTAAAGAACAGTTTTGAGCCGGGTGGAGCCTGAAAAGAGAGAGGCGCCTTTCCAGTGCCGCACCGCGTCGTGCCGCGCTGCGCCGCGCCTGGAAGGCCTGGCCTCCAAGACCCGTTCCGAACGAGGTGAGTATGGAGGCGGCACGGCTGGCATGGCAGCACGCAGCGACAGGCTTTACGACAAGCAGGGGAGCGGGGGCATCAATGACGTCATCTCGACCTGTCGTTTCCACGTTTAAATGAATCTGACTTGGACAAGCTAGGCAAAAATTGGCCGGTAGTGATGTGAAATTGACGGGCGTTGTCATGACTTTGGCTCTTGGCTCCTCGGAGACGGCATCAGAGTGCTGCTTGGTTTGAAAGGCCCGCGCTGCTGCACTCCGTGTCGTGTGGGGTGGAGGGGAAGTAGGGAAGTAGCCCCGCTGTGCTCTGCGTTCCCATTGGCCGGCCGAGGGCCGTGACCTATTGCGGCTTCTGCTGGCCCGGCTGGCGGCTGTCACGGGCCGGATTGAACTCAAGTTAAGATCAGCTGCTTGAAAGTGGGTTAAACGGGCCCGTCGCGGTGATGCTTGACACGGCGCAGCCTCCTGCCAACATCTGTACGTATACTCAGCGAACGCGGATTGCCGGCCATTACATTTTGCTCGTGTTTCCGTTCGCAAACGAACCCAGGAGCGTTCCGCCGCTCCGAAATACCGAAAACCCGTGGTGGCTGTCACATTCCCCTCGATGCCTCGTGGCTTACTTTTAGGTTTATTGTTTCGGGAGCGCAATGGTTCTTTGTCCTGTCTTTTGACCCTGATTTGCTTTATCCTGAATGGTACTTTGCTGAGATTTTATTGATCCAACGGAGAATCCAACCTCTAAATCATGCATGTGTTATCATTTTGACAACAATGTACTTTACAATGTGGTTCCTTCGATTTGCTTATCTGCCTTTTTGTGTTGTTGGGTGAGATAAAATTTAGTAACTTATTTATTGTTTTCTTTTTTTCAGGTTTTATTGTACTTAAAAGAAGCTGTTCTTAGAGACACACATAAGAAATGGATTCACTCAAGAAAACGGCACAACCCCCGAATCCTAGGGCCAAAGCAAACATTTTGTCCTCTCTGATGTTTACTTGGACATTTGGCCTGTTTTGGAAGGGGTATAAACGAGACTTAGTTCTATCAGATCTCTGTGAGCCTTTGGATGAGTATGATTCGAAGCAGGTTGGTGATCAACTTGAAGACCTGTGGAATGAACAACAGAAGAAAAGTTGTGCCAATGGGAAGCGGAAAGTACCCAGTTTATGGGCTTGCCTTCGAGCCTTCATTGGATGGGAACTATTTTTCTTGGCCTTTGGTATTTTTATTTTTGATCTCACCATTAAACTAGGACAACCAATCTTACTTGGAAAATTCCTTAATTATTTTCAAACAAACAGCACTGTTACTGCTGAAGAGGCTACTATTTATGCCTCAGGTGTAGCTGTGTCAGTGTTTCTACACCAGTTTGGCATACACCCTTTTATCTTTGGCCTAATGTACTTAGGAATGAGGGTTCGTGTGTCCCTCTCATCCCTTCTGTACCGCAAATTGTTGAGAGTTTCTATTTCATCCAGTGCAGGAGTTTCTGGTGGATATGTTATAAACTTGCTGACAAATGATGCGAGTCGTTTTGACTTTGCTCCCTTGTTTCTGCCTGATGCTTTAGGAGGCATAGTTTGTTCAGTGGTTGTGACATATTTTCTATGGCAGGAAGTTGGTGTGTCTGCCTTTGTTGGACTGTCGGCCCTTGTTTTATTTGTACCAGTACAAGCTCTTCTGGCCAGAAAATCATCCACTCTTCGTGAAAAGACAGCTAAGAGATCTGATAGAAGAATCCAACTCATGAATGAAATCATTCAGGGAATCCAAGCAATCAAGATGTATGCATGGGAAAAACGGTTTTCAAAATTGGTTGAAATTTCAAGAAGAAAAGAAGTTAATGTCATCAGATCCAAGCTTTACTATACTGGAATAGCCTTTGCATGTTCCTTATTTCTCACAAAGGTTTCCTTTTTCCTGTGTGTGCTTCACTTTGCTCTCTCAGGAAATGCTATCACTGCAGACAGAATTTTTTCTACTATTATGTACTTTAATATTCTGCAAGAAAGTTTAACCATTTACTTCCCAATGGCAATTCAAAAGTTAGCAGAATGTGTTGTTGCCATCAGAAGAATGGAAGAGTTTCTCCTGAAGCCTGAGTCCAGTGCAATAATGACTAGCCAGAGCATAACTGGAAGTACTGAAGTGCTTTTGAAGAATGTAGATGCCAAGTGGACAGAAGACCAGCAGTTCAACACCCTGGAAAACTTAAATCTTTCCATTTCTCCAGGAATGCTGGTTGGTGTTATTGGTCAAGTAGGATCAGGCAAGTCATCATTGTTACAATTAATTTTACGAGAAATACCGCATGTCACTGGAGCAATGAACATCCAGGGGTCAATTTCTTATGCATCACAAGAACCATGGCTGTTTGCTGGCACAGTTGTACAAAATATCCTCTTTGGCCTTCCTATGGATAAACAACGTTACAAAGAAGTTGTCAAAGTTTGTGCATTAGAAGAGGATTTCAAGCAATTTCCTCGGGGTGATAAGACCCAGGTTGGGGAACATGGACATTCACTCAGTGGTGGACAGAGAGCTAGGATAAATTTAGCTCGAGCTGTTTATAGAAGGGCTGACATTTATCTTTTGGACGATCCCCTCTCAGCTGTTGACACTCATGTGGGCCGCCACCTCTTTGACGATTGCATCAATGGTTTCCTGACAGGGAAAATAGTTATTCTATGCACTCATCAGTTGCAGTATCTCAACAACGTCGAATTCATTGTAATGATGAAAAATGGATCCATAAAGGCCCAAGGCACTTTTGGCGACTTGCAGAAATGTGGCACAGAATTGTCTGATTTAATGAAGACAGAAGCAGAAAATGAGGAGAATCCTGTCAAAGATCCACTGCAGAGGAGACTTTCGATTCACAGTACAGCTTCAGATGATGAATTTGACGTGCCGGAAGAAATGAAATCAAAGGGGAAAGTGACCTGGAGGATTTATCAATCTTACTTCAAAGCAGCTGGTGGTCTGCCAACATTTATCCTTCTTGTGTTATTCCTTGCACTTTCTCAAGGCTCTATAAGTGGTGGTGATTATTGGACTTCCTATTGGGTTGATCTTGAACAGTATGTATTTCAAAAAGGGAACACCACATCACTTCCTATATTGGGAGAAATGGACCAAGATAAATGCTTGTATGTCTTTGGAGCTCTGATAGCCATCACAGTTTTTATGAATTTGAGCAGAATAATTGCATTCGTGTACTGCTGTATGGAAGGCTCTAAAAGATTGCATGATACCATGTTTAATACTGTCTCCAATGCCACCATGTACTTTTTTGACAACAATCCATCTGGACGTATTTTAACAAGATTCTCCAGAGATATTGGTGTTGTTGATGAAAAGCTTCCTGGCACTCTTTCTGATTTCCTGGAGGTGGCCATGCATTTAGTTGGCGTTCTTTGTATCATCTGTGTGGTCAATTACTGGCTTGTGTTGCCTGCCCTTGTGATGGGTGTGATTTTCTCCTTGCTTCGCCAACTGTTCATGATGACGTCTCGAAGTTTGAAAAGACTAGAGGGCTTGTCCAGCAGTCCCATGTACACGCACACAAATGCTACTATTGAGGGGCTTGTCACAATCAGATCAATGCACGCATCGGTGAGTTTCTCAACCTTTATCTTGTTTATCACTACCTTGAATTGTTTCTAATTTTTCTTTAATTTTGTTGCAGGACGATTTATCAAGAGAATTTGATAGCAAACAAAATATGAACTCCTCAGCGGTTTTCTATTCACTTGGCACTGGTAGAGCATTTGCTTATTGGTTGGATCTTGTGTGTAGTGGTTACACAATGCTGGTCATCTTCAGCTTTTTATTTTTGGAGGATGACTTTAAAGGTGGAGAGGTTGGCCTCACCATCACACAGGCGCTTTCTCTAGTTTTTATGTGCCAGGTAAAATATTCTTTGAATTTTTTACCTCAAAATTTATTATTACTGCACCTGATCTTTTATTTAACAAGTTACTATCTGTTGATTTTAGTGGGCCATGCGTCAAGCAGCTGAAGTGGAAAACTATATGACTTCAGTAGAACGTGTTTTGGAATTCCACAAAGTTGAAAGTGAAGAGTCAAGACTTTTGACAAAACCTGAACACAATCTGCCTGTCGATTGGCCAACCTGTGGAGATATCACCTTCCAGAATGTCTGTCTCCGTTACTCCTCTACTGATCCTCCTGTGCTCAAGAAACTTAACTTTTTCATCAAATCTGGAGAAAAAGTAAGAAAGCAAAGCAATTTTAGAATGAAAATATTCTTGCCATTGCAAACTTAGAGCTTGTAAAATAAATTGACACCATGACAAACAACTTCTTTAATTCTTCACCAATATTTTTCTAGATTGGTATAGTTGGTCGAACCGGAGCTGGCAAGTCTTCATTACTGAGTGCCCTTTTCCAATTGTATCCTATTGAAGGAACTATTATTATTGATAAATTAGACACAAGCAAAATGGGTCTTCAAGATTTGCGCTCTCATTTGTCAGTTATCCCTCAGGAGCCTGTACTTTTTACTGGTATGCCTTTAAGTTTACATCCGAACAGTTACTGTCTAAAAGCTTGGTATATAAATTTTGTAATTTATTATTTTTGACTGGTTTGCAGGATCCTTGAGGCACAATCTTGACCCTTTCGAACAGTATAAAGATGAAGATCTTTGGCGAGCACTGGGAGATGTTGAACTAAAGTCATATGTAGAAGAAATGAATGGTATGTATTGAACTTAAATTTAATTCATGTGGAGCTGATATTAAAGTTTCATCTCTGGGTACCATTGCTTCTCTATTTGATCTGATTTTCTGTTTCCTATCATTTTTAGGTGGGCTGCAGTTTGTTGTGACAGAAGGTGGCAGTAATTTGAGTGTTGGCCAGAGGCAGCTTGTGTGTCTGGCACGGGCCATATTAAGGCAGAATAAGATTTTGATTCTTGATGAAGCCACTGCAAATATGGATACATACACTGATCAATTAATCCAGACTACAATAAGGCACAAGTTCTCAGCTTGTACTGTTTTGACAGTAGCTCATCGTCTTGACACTGTCATGGATTGTGATAAAATACTTGTCATGGATGGTGGCCAAGTGGCTGAATTCGGCAAGCCCCATGACCTCCTTCAGAACCCCACGGGGCTTCTGACTAAATTGGTTAACCAAACTGGTCAGACAAATAGTGCTACTCTCAAGTCCATGGCAGAGCAAGCCAGTAATAGAATGAAAACTCATCAAATTGAAGCTGGAAAATGACTTTTTCTTTGCTAGTTTATTTCTGTGTACCTTGTCAGTGTTACCCCATTTGATGTATCTTTTGACACTGCCCAGCTCATTCAGTTTCTTACAATGCAAGAAATTGTATCTGTGAACAATATTCCTACAGTATTTGCTCCTGCTCTTTGGTGTCGCTTTGTCTGTTATTGAATGTCCATCCCCGTAGTGGGAGCAGGTAACATAGTTCTTTTTTAAGGTGACGGTCACACTATGAGTCTTTATTTCTTGCCCACTTAATAAATTATAATTTTATTACCTTTATAATGTTAATTTTTTACTTGAATCTTCGCCTGTAACCAACTTTATTGGTACCTGATCAAACTTCCTTATGTTAGTATTAAAGGAGTTTCATTTTTGTAACTTCCATCATGGAGTCTGGTGCTCTAGAACTTAATAGTGATATCTTGTGATTTATGAGAAGGGTTCATTATATTTTGTTTATAGTGTTCAAATGAAAATTTTCATGTTTTTTGTTCCACTTTGTTCATTTAAATTATTAAAAAAAAAATCTGTTACTCTAATTTTAAATTCTTTATATGCTGAAAATACACTGATATTTATGTTAGATGTGCACTCTGGATTACTTAACTCAGCATGTGAAGCACTGCAGTTGATTTAAATTTTAGAATGTCGACATATCAGTCAATGCAGTACAAATGATGTGGAAGATGTACTTAAATCTTTCAATCTATTGGGACATTTATGTGTTTCTATTCTTGCTAATTGCATTCTTGTGTTAAAGCTCAGTTGATTTGCAATCAACGCTGTACACACCATATGTGTAACTTTTGTGCCTTGTTGATATGATGACTGATTTTTTTACATGTTGAATTAAAATAAAATTCACTTACCAATTTAGTTTTTATCACCTTAAATTTTTTTCTTCCCTCTTCCACGAGTCGCGGGGGAGACAGAAAATTCTGAACCTGATGGTGCCACAGCCTAAGGCGGTTTTCACGACAGCCTGCCGCCTCCGAGGTAGGCATCCCAAACGACAGGCCAGGCCGCTCAGTGGTACAACCTTTCCAAACGAACGACCACGGCTACTGCGAGTCTTGAGATGAAGAGCTCGCATCGCCCTGACATCAACATCAGACCAATTTGTTTTCTTTTAAAGTGAAACATAAACTTTGACAAAACACAAAATTTTGTAAATATCATTTTTTTTCCACGCAAGAACGGCCAAGGCAGGAAGTCGAAGTCAGCTGATCGTCGCGGCGCGCGTTTTGTGCCACATTCAAGCCAAAATATTGTCGCAAACGGGGTAGTTACGGAATGCTGCTGCGGGTCATTCCCCCTTCTTATCATCGACACACACACTGCAAACCCGACCCAGAGGAGAACTTCCACTAGCAGACAAGCTGACAAAGCAGTCCATTCTATTACCCTTAGCGACCATAACCTAAGTATTAGTTAGGAAACTTGTTGATTCCCGAGTACGTCTTAAGTACTCAGGTAACTTGTAAACAAGGCTGTCTTGAGGGGTGTACCCGGACAAGCAAACTAGACTCTGATGAAGAGACGAGTCTGGAAGACGCGGTTCAAGTGACAGGTCTCTTGGTGTTTGGATTTCATTGCAAACCTAATGAGAGACAGTAGTCAAAGTGCGGAGTACCGATACCACGATCAGCCAGCAATGACGACCTCCTCACAATTTACGTTGACCAGTAACTTGATAAAACACAAGAATCAAAGAATGAAGTGCTTCACCGTCAGTGTGCTCGGAATTGCAATATTTGCCATTCTTCTAGCTTACGTAGCATTTGCTGATAAGGATGGAGACGGAAAACCAGATATCAAAGTTGCTTATGTGGTAAGTGGTTTTGTCAAAGGTCAGTTTATTCACTACTTTCAACCTATCGTTACGTCATTTGTTTTAGATTTTTAGGCACGGTGACAGGAATCCAACTGAATCGTACGCAACAGATCCATACAATGATATAAAATATTGGCCAGGTGGATGGGGTGCCTTAACAAATGTATGTATTTTTGCAAGCAATTTTCAGATGAATTTATCGCAGTAAGTTTTATTAAATACTTATGTTTTTTTCCAGAAAGGAAAGCTTCAGATGTACAAACTCGGAAAATACCTGAGATCCAGATATGCAGAATTATTAGGAGAAACGTACTCATCTGAGCGCTTACTTGTCAGAAGTAGCTATGCAGACAGGGTTATTATGAGTGCGGGTGCATTGCTTGCTGGCTTGCAGCCCCCATCAACTTCTGAAATATGGCTCCCAGGTTTCAACTGGCATCCAATCCCAATTCATTCTACTCCTCGCTCTCTTGATCAGGTAAAATGCAGTAGTGATGCGTTCTATGTTACTTTTTCCTTTTTTTAAATGAAAAGTTATGTTAAACTAGGTGCATTTTGTTTTCCTCTCAGTTAATTACTGTTAAAAAGAAGTGCCCTCGCTATGACAAAGAACTTAAAGAAGCCTATCAGTCTGAAGAAATTTCCAAAATTAATACAGATATTGCAGATTTATACAGACATCTTTCTGCTAACACTGGTCAAAATGTGTCAACTGTACTAGATGTTGAGTTTCTCTTCAACACATTAGAAATTGAGGTATGGCTGGCTGGCTTGGGTATTTCCCTTTATTTAAAATTGAGCTGGTGGTTTATCTGAATCCTTTTATTATGCTTCACATTATTAGGAAGCCAATGGACATAAGCTGCCTGATTGGACCAAAGAAATCTATCCTGAGAAGATGAAAGAGATAGCCACTATCTCAGTTAAAATATTCTCTCAAACTCCGTCCATGAAACGTTTTGTTGGTGGTGCGCATTTATGTTCACATTGATAAATGATTGTGGGTATCATGATAATAATGATGACAATCCTTTCAGGTCCACTAATTAATGATATGATAGAAAAAATGGTTGAAAATCACAAGCACTCATTAGATCAAAAACATGAAGTGTTCCTCATTGCAGGACACGATATGACTGTACTTAATGTCATGAGGGCGCTGGGCTTTGATGAAACTTCTAAACCAGATATTGGAGCTGCTATACTAATAGAACTCCATGCAGGACCCCCAGGACTCGGAGAGAGCACAGACTTTGTCAAGGTAAGATCTTATAACAGAATGACCATGCCCTCCCTTTGTCACCTGGGTTTTACAAGAATCTTTTTTGTTACAGCTTTTCTACATGAATTCGAGCTCAACCACAGATCCAATCCAGTTGAGCCTCAATGGTTGTGATGAGATCTGCTCATTGGATTCTTTTGTTTCAGCTTTGTCCCATGTTGCAATAAAACCAAGTGAATGGGAAACAGAATGTAATAATTAAAATATTTGAACTAATATTAAGTCCTCACTGTTGTTCAGATTATGTAGGTTTAGTTGTTGTTTTTAGGTCATTAGTTTAGTCTGTGCCCTTGTCTGTGCCTCTCTGGAGACATTCTGTCTGACATGCATAAGCATGAAATCAAATCTAGAAATTTTATTGTAACTGGTCGTTGTGCTTTTATCGTCTGTATGTAACTTTGCTTCAAGTTAGTGCAATAAATTAATAATGAATACAAGAACAGAAAAAGGTAGTAAGTGACAAATAAAGCATTGGCTTACTAAATACTAATGAGCATTTCATACAATAAACACTCATGCTTTCAAATATGTTTAAGAAATTACAGGATGAAACAGATAAGTTGGTATGGAACACAGAGAAGTAAGGGTACTTACATGGAAAATCACATTTTCAAAAAAAAAAAAAAAAGTTACGTTTTTATGAAAAAATTTGTTGCAGCTATGTCTCAACAGTATAGACAACAGTTGTCCCAGTGTCGAGCTGGTCTTCATCATGATTTTCTTCAAGTTCAGTATCATTCAGACAATCGTCATCTGAATCACTGTTACATTCCGCCTGCCCTCTGTAGGCCATGCTATTAACAATACTAATGGGAATATCTTCGGCCATTCTAATTCCATGAAGAGAAGATAACTTTTCAGCAGCATGTCTCATTTGTACCTCCTACAATTACACAAAGCAAAATGTCAGAAATATTATTGAAAAAAAATAAAATGATGTAAAAATATTCAAAATTACCTTAAGTTTCTGGTTCTGCTCACGCTGAAGTTCAAGAGATTCCTCAATGGAGAGTAACTTAGTATCAGGATGAAGTGGCAAGGGTGGGGTTACATTGGTTTCTTCCCAACGTTTAGGCTTGGATGACACTCTGCCAGTAGGCTTCAGAGGAAATGAACCTGTGAATGGCTTCAGTGGTTTATTTGGTTTAAACCTTTCTTTTGCTTCTTTGTGGCCATAACGTTCACAAATAAAATGTGCAAATGGCTCAGGCTCATCAGGGAGAGGAAATGTTGGTGAAAACTTCTGCTCCCACTTTTCTTTGTTTTCTTGAGGATCAGAGGTTTCATTCCTTATTACATCTGATTCTTTATCTTGTTTCGATTCCACTCTTTGAATATTTTCATCATTATGATCCTCATCAGAAACAATGAGATCTTCAGGCTTGATGAGGCTCGCCTCTGGCTTCAAAATCCTTCAAAGCAAACAGGATATTATTATAATCAATCATGAAAAGACTAGAAAACCATCATAAGTGAAGCAATATTTTACCTTAGATGTTTTTGGTGATCTGTTGTTCCACTGTGAGAGACTAAGATTTTTAGAGGATCAGTTTCCTCATAATCTATGTTAGTGACTGATTCATGAGTTGGATGTTTGTAACGAAGACCTGGAGTGCAATGGCCTGTCCATTCAAGGGCATTCAGTTGATTAAGACTCATAGCCGATAAAAGATTTGCTGCTTTATTGACATCATCTCTAGATTGTAACTCCTTTTCAATCCTTTCTTTGAGTTCAGTAGCTTTGCTTCCTTTGTCAGCAAGCTTGTTAACTAGAGACCTGGAGCACAAAAGAATAAATAAATTGTCATTTTTGTGAACCCCGCAATCAATTAAATGACCATCTCTTACTTGTTTGACAAGATTCTAACTTGACGTTCCAAAAGCTCTTTGAGCTCCGCGACGCTTTTCTTAGAAAGATCACCCATATACACATCCTTTTCCTTAGGAAGGGGGACCAGTTTTCCTGGAACTTTCTTGATGATGGACTCAGGTTTTGCAACCAAAGAAGCAGCAGAGGGAACAGGCTGAGGATCCATTATATAGCCTCTTCTTTTGACGTTAGTAGGATGTGACACTCTACGATGCTAATGTCTACAGTGAATCAGAATAAGAACATGACGATGACAGACTTTCAAGCTAGAAAATAATGAAACATTGCGACATAAACTTTTGGAAAAGGCTGAAAAGAACTTGCACCACGACACTCAACGACACGGCGTAAACTAAACAACAACAACAACAACAACAACAAACAAAAAAAGTTACGATGTTGCCAACAGTCTTACACAAAAAATAACGAAACGGTGTTTTAACTTTTCATAAATGGTTGTTGGCACTTATAAGAACTAAAACAAATTTTATATTAAAATATTTTTAATATGATTTTTGAGTTAGTAATGTTTTTTCTTTTTCAGAACATGCAATAGCCTTGGTTCATGGTTTGTGTCATGATTGTGGTACTAACGTTTGAATCGAGAGGGTTGATGTTTAGATCGACCCATAACCAACAACATTGTTCTCTTGTTCAACATTGTTGTATTTTGCACCGCTTTTAAAAAAAATAATCGACGGAATTGTTGAGTTTGTTCAAGCCGAGACTGATTCTGTTTAATGAATTGAATGCTACATCCAATTTCAGAGCAACAACATTTTCTGGATCATGACGGAAACCGTAAAGGCAAGTCAAGAGGACACACAGAAAGATTCGACCCAGCAGCCGTCGTCACCCAAGACAAAGTCAAAAGCTGCAAAGCTGTCAACTGAAGGAAATGAGCGTCCAAAATCCAATGACAAGGTCGAAAAACCTCCAACCAAGGTAACATGTTTGACCTGACACCTCCTGTCGTCTAGAAGTGTTGTCACATTGGATCAGAGAGTTTGAGATTTTCTTCTGTTGTAGGTGGTTGTACGTCGCCTTCCACCTACTATGACGCTGGAAACATTTTTAGACCAAGTATCTCCTTTACCACCTGTCGACTACATGTATTTTGTGAAAGCTGATTTGAGCTTAACTCCAAACTCATTTGCAAGAGCTTATCTACATTTTGTTCATGTAGCAGACCTGCTCATCTTCACTGAAAAATTTGACAACTATGTTTTTGTTGACAGCAAAGGTATGCTGTTAATCTCTAATTGTGGCTTTGATCTATGAGTCTACCGTCATGTATTTATTGTCCTTTTTCTGGCCTAGGTAATGAGTATCCTGCTATTGTAGAATATGCTCCATTCCAAAGAATACCAAAGCAGAGATCTTCAAGGAAGAAAGATCCTCGTATAGGAACAATTGGTAATGACCCGTACTATCTCGAATTTCTTGAAGCCTTGAAAGCAGAGGAGACTCAGAGGAAGTCTGCGTCCAAAACAAATAAGCAACATTTCTTTGAAACATCTATAAGTGAGTGATATATTCATTTTTTGTATCTTCTCTCCCTTATTTCTTCTTTTTCCATCTTGATGTGGGTTATCTGGATGTAACTTCTGATACCTCACCAACATCTCTTTTAGCAGGCGCAGTTACACCAAAAGTAACATCAACTCCCTTGCTGGAGTTTTTAAAAGCAAGACGTGCAGACAAACTGAGGACAAAAGAAGATAAAATTGCTGAAAGGAGAAAGAGAGAGGTTGAAAGGCGTAAAGCTCGCGATGATGCTCGCATTACAGTGAAGCATGGGAAGACTGCAGAGGCAGATAGTGACATTGCTGCCCCAACGTCACAAATAAAGGTACCAAATTTTATTTATCACTAAAGACTGAAGGTTAATAGATGGGCCTGTGGCTATTGATTTTCTTATTGCATGTATTGGGTTCATATTTAGCTGCTCTTCATCATTAATCATTTATTCATCTCATAATCAATATTATTCAAAGGTAGAAGCGGTTGCTTAAAAGCCGCTTTAAAAAACTCAGTGTTTGCTTTTCAATTTTCAATGACATTACTCTTTGGCATTTATTTAAGGGTTGATTGGTTTTGGAAAATGGCATACCATTGACCTTATTTTCCAGCTTCCCCAACCCTCCAGTGACCGAACCCCAGACTTGGCAGAGATACAAACTCGCTACCTGCGCTGCATGATTGGCCTGGATACGGATACCTCAGGCCTAGAAAAGGTGTCTTGCTCTGCATGTTGCAGTAACAATTTGCATGCTCCCCACACATGTCAGATCCTGCGTGAAAGGATGCACCTCTTATTGCTTCATATTAGCAATGCCAAAATAATTCTGGAGCCTAGTTCAGAAGTAAAAGTTTCAAGTGAAACCACTTCTAGCACAGATTTGCACCAGCCCATCCAAGCCCATGAAACCCTCAAGTCTTGCTGCATGAACAAACTGGTAGCTCCTGGCACACAGAAACCGCTATTTTCTTCCTCCAGTATCAGTAGTGATGACCCTTTAGTCACCTGTCCTACAGTTACTCAAGTTGCCATTAGCAAATTCTCTGATGCTCCCAATAGCTCAGTTTCTGACTCTTGTGAAATGGTGAAGAGCACTTCAACTACTTCATTAAGTATGATTGAAGTGAAATCTACCAGTGGAGGCTCCAGAGGAAGTAGTCTAGCTCAAGAGGGAAGTGGTAGGAGCCACAAAGGTAGGAAAGTAAGTGGGGCTCAGCACAATCCCCCCAGCAGGGACACCAAAAGCAAATTTATTTTGAACCACAAGAGAGGAACCACAGTTCCTATCAAACCTGACCTGAAACACCCTCTCAACAGTAATAGCTCATCTAAAAGTAATCAAAGCTTTAAACTATCTTGTTCGAAGAGAGTAAAGAGTAACAAATCCAATATGAAGCTGACTGAGCTGTTTAAAATGCTGGAGTGTGGCACTTTGCAAGTACAATGCCCATCTCCATCAAACTGCTCCATGGACCAGATGACTACTTTGGAGGAGCTGGAAAAGCAACTGATGTCTCAGCCCAAAAATGATTCTAAAGTTGAAACCAAGGAATGCCAGTCTGAAAACCTCAATTTTCCCTCTGAAAGACAAAAGTTGCAGCCATTGCTTTCCAGATCCAAGACATCCATTCAACCTTTTGATAATTTTAAGTGTGGCAAGAGAAGTCCTGGATGTAAAGAAATTTGCAATAAGAGGAATTCATCTTCCTTTCAATTGAATAGACATTATTGTTGGCCTGGTGAGCCCAGGAGACTTTGTGTTATGTGCAAATCTGGGGCTTCACCTTTAGCTATAGATTCCCTTCCTTTTATTGAAGCAAAGAGAGCAAGATGTCCATCTCACTTTCTTCCGTCAAGATGTGTGAGCCATTCTGACATAAGGATAAATCCTGTGAAAAATGGCAATTTTTCTAAGCGCTTATTAAAGAACTCTCAATTTAAAGGAATATTATGTGGGCATCAAAAGAGTTTCTATGACATGAAGAAGTCTTTGCGGGCACCTTTTGCAAATGAGAATTGTAATGTTGGCAGAGAATGTTCTTTCTTTCATCCATTGCACTATGCAGAAGCTTTTCATTCGCCTGTTGGATGGAGCTTAGGAAATATCTCTGAACTTAATCGAAGTCTGAACCTGTATTCAATGCCTTACCCAAATGTACCAATGGCCCAAGCTAACGTTTGTGATAAATATCAGAGGCAGTCAAAGTATGATTATAATTACAGATTGTCACATAATTTATGGGGATGTGGGTTTAATGCACTTTGAAGACAACTGTCTTCTATGAAGACAATAAATTTATCTCCCTCCTTTATTCTCATGAATCTCTTAATCAACTTGTCATATTTCATCACCTCTTGCATTACTTGCATTTTGTTTATTCTATAAATAAATCCAAGTGTAATTTTCCTGCATGAAAGCTTTCTTTTAGTCACTTACTGTTCATAAATAAATGTCCAGCAGTATCCAATGTTGCTTGCTTTCCATGTTGTTCAAAAATTGGGATTTAAAGCCTGAAAAAGACCACAGTAATTTTGCCTTCCTAAAATTTGAACTGAGGAACCAACAGAATCAGTCTCACAAAAATCTGCATTTCCCAAATAAGCTGTGGCCTAGTTCAGTCTTTCTCTTACTTCTACTGTCCCTTATCTAAAAATTTGTTTCCTTTATCTTGTGTTTGTTTGCTTGAAATTGTAAACTTCTGGTAAGTGCTTGGTGGGATAGGGATAGAAATAAAATATTGCCATGCATGGTTTAGCTTATTTGTTTCAATGTGCCATGCTCAATTAAATTAAAAAACTTTGACAATTTTCAAATTTAATTTTTGTTTTATTTATTTTTATTTTGCTACAGATAGCTGGTCATGGGCCTGCAGCTGACAAAGGAACAAAGGATGCATCTGATATTAAACGGTTTTCGAAAGATAGTAGTGTTAAAGAAATTATGTCCAAGCGTCGCGATGACGATCGTGGTAAAGCTCGAGAGAAAGATAGGGAAAGAAGAGAAAAAGATGCAAGAGAGCCCCAAAGAGAGCCAAAACGAGATTCTCGAAGGGATTCAACAAAAGATCAAGGGCCTGATAAAGAAAAAGATAAAGAAAATCAACCCAACACTCTGGATTCAAAGTAAGATGCATGATGCCTCTATTTTTGTTCTTTATTTGATTGTTAAACTGTAGGGGAACCAGTTTGCTTGCAATTAAATGTAATCAATTTGTTTCAGATCCAAAGAAACAAAGCGAGGTGGTAAGAGCTACCAGGAAGAGAGACAGCGTCTTAATGAAAGAAGACTTGCGGCCAAGGGTATGTCCTCCAAGCCTTCTAGTGTAGGAGATTGCTTGGATAAAAGCGAAAGTGTTTCTACTGAAGAAATAAATGGTGACAAAAAAACAATTGCTAAGAAAGAGGCAGACACTCCATCTGAATCTCGTAGTCGACCTAATGAGAGGAGCCGAGGTTCTGATAAATACCAGCAACAAAGTACTAGGGAGTCCAAGAAATTTGAAAAAACTAATAAGACTGGGAAGGATTCAGAACAAAAGCGAAGTTATGATTCAAAGAAGACTGCTGAGGAACGTTACCAAGATGATAGCAAGGAAATGAAAAAGAATGAATCAAATGACAAAACAGATTCTCCAAAGGAAGAAACTCGAAAAAAAAGTTACAATCAGGAAAGAGAGCAACGAAGAGCTGCTGCAGCAGAAAGAAAGAATCCCAACAAACGGGAACAAGGTGGATCTAAGAGTGAGATGCCTGACTCAAAGGAAAACACAAAAAAGTTGAGTAGTGCTGAAGAAGCCCAACAATCTCTTGATGATAACTCTAGTAAAAAGGGTGGCACCACACAAGAGGAACCATCAAGGCGCAAGTCAGGAGGCGAGTCGTCAAACGAGAGGAAGAAAGGCACCTCAGATTCTAGAGATGAAAAAGATAAAAAGGACCCCCGGGCAGAGCGAAGAATTCGAAATAAGGTAAGCTGAACTCAGTTGAATTTCTTTTTCATTGTGGTAAAAACGTACTTTTTTTTGGTGTTTGTTTCCCTGTTTAGTTTTTTGGTAATTTATTCTCTTTTGCTTTTCAGGATCGGCCGAGCATAGAGATTTATCGGCCCGGCATGGGTCGTTTCAGCCGACAGAGGCTTGAACGGGAAAAGGGTCTGGGCAAGGGCAGCAGCACTGAAAGGGATTCCCCATCCTCCAGTCCGTCTCCGGTGCCGTCGTCTGCCAAGACCTCTGTGATATCAGAAAATGATAATGAATAACAATAGTTTTCTCTCGTGATACTTCTTTTTTTCCCTAATTTTTTTTTTGGGGGTAGTTTCTTTCTGTTTTGTAGTTTACTTTGTCTTCTACATGAAGACACTCACTTAATTTTTATTTTACTTCGTGTTGTAACCCTTTCCTTGGAATGCCATGTGTTAAACCAATTTTGTATTGTTTAATCATTTTTTTTTTTGTGTTTAAAGCATTTTCCTTTGCCAATAATTTAAAGAATTTTGAAACTACACATGTTTAAAAACTGTTTTTGAAAATGTTAAAGGAATTTTGAACTATCAACTGATTTGACAGTTACTTTTGTTGTATCCCTTCCCGGCCAATCTGAGGATTGAAATTAAAAGGAATGTGACTTGGCGTTCCCTTTGCTTTCGATTCAAATTTAGCGCCTGGCTTCATTGCCAACATACGACACCACACCTTATGATTTCATTTCTTTAAGAGACGATGGTTTTTGGTTTAAAATATGTGACAAGGTACCTCTTGTCGGAATATTTTCAAAATTGTGTCCATGCTGAAAATTTATCACGCAAAAAAGCGAAAAACCGTAATCCTGACGTACATTTGGAATGTAGCCCTTCCTGACTGTTGAACTGTTGAGGCGGCCATGTTGGATCGGGGTTGTGGCGAGGCTGATGTAACGTGCTGTCGTGGTCTTTATTTCACTTGCAAAGTCGTGTCAATTTCCACATGAAATATGGCGTCAGAAGGTTCTACCACGGGGCAGCCTCATCTACACAAGCAGGATTTGTCAAAATTAGTAAGTAGTTAGAAATGTATATGTGTTCTGACTTGCCGTATGCGTGCGGCCGGTGTTAACTAACCCATTCGTCCCATACGTGAGAGAATTTACATTTAGCACTCCAAAATTTGGACCTATCCCTTTGATTTACATTTATTCAAAGATGGCTTATGTTTTACATCCATCCTGGAACTTTGCATGTTGACGTGATACTCTGCTTTTCGCGATGTTGCGCTCCGTGCGCTCCGTGGTTAGGGGACCAGGCAGGTTAGGATCTGGGATTCTTGTCAGTCATTTAATTTTTCTTGCCGAGTTCTCTGATCCTGGTGAATACGGAATAGTAACCGTGGGAAAATTTGGTTCTGAGACCACCCTTACCCCTGTTTTGGTTATCTTGAGAATCCATCGACTTGCATGTATCTAATCTATTTGAAATTTTCAGGATATATCTAAGCTCACTGCACTTTCACCTGAGGTTATCAGCAGACAAGCCACAATCAATATAGGTGAGTGGTAATGAAATCCGATTCATTTTGTAAGTTGGTATTTTTGAAGTTGCTCTCACACTAAATCTCTCATAGGTACTATTGGCCATGTCGCCCATGGTAAATCTACTGTTGTGAAGGCAATTTCTGGTGTACAAACTGTCCGATTCAAGAATGAACTGGAAAGAAACATCACCATTAAGCTGGGTAAGAGTCTGTTCTACAGTCTTTGTAGTTTTTAAATTGAAAAACCTTTTTGAAAAATCCTTTTTTTAAAATCCTCTAACCCGCCCCTTAACATTATTTGGATTAATGCATTGCGTAGTTGGTATAAGTGATGACTTCATCTCTCACACTTTTTCCTTTTGTTAAAGATGCATATGCCAGCTGTGTTCGAAAAGCTTTTCATTGTTGCAATCTGCCTTCTTCTTTTACCATACTATTGAGGTGTAGTGCATGGCAGGACTGATCAGCTTTATGTTCTCATTTGATTAATTCACAAGATGTTAAAAAATTCTCACACATAGTTTTATTAGAATGATAAATTTTACTAAAGAGTGGTAATGGTATTTAAAATCTGATGGCAAATTAAATAGCAATCTTAGTGCTGAGTTTCTGACCATTTTTGAGGTTTGGATTTAACTTAAATTATTATTCGGAAATTGTGTGAGAAAAAAAAGTTTGTTTGCTTTTTTTCTCACAAGACACTGCTGATAACATGTTGAGAGAACTCACATAAGGTGCCCATTTAGGCTTCACATACTATCTGTCAGGGTGGACGTCAGAAAACTTTTGTGTTTTTATTCCCTTGGGTTCAAAGTAGTTAGTCCGCAGGGGTCTCTGAAACTGTTTCAAGGATAAAATCATAGTTTCTATTCTGTTGTAGTTGGTATCTTTTAGGCAGAGGGCGTGGGTAGGGTGACTCTTTCTGGGCTGTTACTTTTGATTATTTTCTACATCCTTTCAAGACACATTTGAGTAACCAAGTGCAAAATGTATGAAGTGCTGGCTAAACGACCCACGAGCTACCTTTTCAATTGCAGGCAACGAGGAGGGAGGAGGAGACAAATTTGAAAAGGAAGGAAAAGTTGCTCCACACGTCCAGAAGAAGAAGAAGAAATCCGCTGCAAAATATGGACAAAAGTTCAAGTCCTCAAAAAAGAAAAAAGAAAACGAAGCTGTAGTCGTAGCTCCTGTTTTGGAGGATGGTGTGTGGGAGGTGGAGGAGATCCTTGATTTAAACGTAATAAATGGTCAAAAAAAGTTTTTAGTGAAGTGGAAGGAGTGGGGACCGGAGTACAATAGTTGGGAGAAGTTCACAAACCTCACAACTTGTCAAGAGGCAATCGTTGATTTCTTCAAAAGAAACAACTCACAGCGTGTATTGGACGTCCTTTTAGGAAAGGTGACTATCAGTATAGAGGAAAAGTTCACAAGAGAGCAGCAACTGCTGCTCCTTGCTGAGTGGGAGACAGAAATCAACAAGTTATCCCCCCATGAGGCGCGCATCACTGTGGAGAACGATGTCGACAACGAACGAGCTCCTGCAAACTTCACTTACATCGCAAGTTACATTGCAGGACCCAATGTAGTTTTGCCAGAAGATCCACCTATTGGTTGTGCGTGTTCGGACTGTGGCCCCAAAAGTGTTTGCTGCAACTCTCAAAATGATGCCCCCTTTGCATATCAGAAAAAGAGACTCCATGTTCCTCAAGGCACTCCCATCTTTGAGTGCAACAAAAAGTGCATGTGTGGTGACGAATGTCCCAACCGTGTAGTCCAGCAAGGAAGACAAGTCGCCCTTTCGATTTATCGTACAAATAATGGTTGTGGGTGGGGAGTGAAAGCCAAACAAGCTATAAAAAAGGGAACTTTCATCTGTGAATATGTTGGTGAAGTGCTTTTTAGTGATGAGGCAGAAGTCAGAGGTGCTCAGCACCGAACTGATGGAAGAACTTATCTTTTTGATCTGGACTTCAATGATCCCGAAGATCCCCTCTACACAGTTGATGCTGCCAAGTATGGAAATGTCTCCCATTTCATAAATCACAGTTGCAGCCCAAACTGTGGTGTTTTTGCAGTATTCATTAACTGCCTGGACCCTAACCTACCCAGATTAGCTCTCTTTGCTCTAAGGGATATCCGTGCTGAAGAACAAATATCTTTTTGCTATACATCCAACCCCAGGCTCTCAAAATCCATTACTGCAGCTAATGATGATGGAACCATGCTGCAGTGCAAGTGTGGTGCAGACAACTGCAGAAAATTTTTATTTTAATTGTTAAGTGTTAATATGTGTGATCTAGTGTTAACACCAAGTTGAATGTTTTTCCCTTCCCATTTTTTTTGCCTGCTGTGTTTTTTGTTGGTTTCTTTGTTATTTGTATTTTTGATAAGTACTGATTTTTGTACTGTTTTTTCTTCTCCTTTCGTAAAACACATCAATAAATTTTTGTACAAATAATCTAGAATTTTAAAGTCTCACTAATCATTATACCTTTGCATTATCAAAATATTTAAAATGGTTGATCTTAATCTCTAACTTGATTTACAGTGTAAGGGCATCAATGTATTAATGCAAGGTACACTTTGCCATCACAGAGTAAATGAGAATTTTTTTTTCTAAAATTTTTCCAGGTTATGCCAATGCCAAGATTTACAAATGTGACAATGAGAAGTGTCCACGGCCAGCTTGCTACATCTCTGGTGGATCATCAAAGGATGATTCCTTTCCTTGCTTACGTCCTGCATGCTCTGGACGCTTTAGACTCGTGCGGCATGTCTCATTTGTGGATTGTCCTGGGCACGACATCCTTATGGCAACCATGTTGAACGGTGCAGCTGTGATGGATGCTGCTCTTCTTCTCATTGGTAATTTAAAATTATTTTTTTTATCTTTCTGTACATTGTTATTTGTGTCTTTTTGTTCTTTTTTAATCCCTTTCAATTTTCCATACAATTTTCTTATTGTTACATCAGAAAACAAAAATTGTTTAGTTGTTTGCTATAAAAATATTTTGATTTTCAGCTGGAAATGAGCCCTGTCCACAACCTCAGACATCCGAGCATTTGGCTGCAATTGAAATCATGAAGCTCAAGCATATTGTGATATTGCAAAATAAGATAGATCTTGTGAAAGAAGGACAGGCAAAGGAACAGTATGAGCAAATTGTTAAGTTTGTGCAAGGTAAGTTTTAATTTCTTGACCTTATTGGTGATGTGTATAAATCTTGTTAGGTTATTTGATTTTGATTTGTCTGTTCCCAGGCACTGTTGCGGAAGGGGCTCCTGTCATACCCATTTCTGCACAGTTGAAGTATAATATTGAGGTCTTGTGTGAATATATCATGAAGAAAATTCCTGTGCCCACCCGTGATTTCATGTCTGCTCCTCGTCTAATTGTTATTCGTTCATTTGACGTGAACAAACCTGGATGTGAGGTTGATGACTTGAAGGGAGGCGTTGCTGGAGGAAGTATTCTTCGTGGTGTCCTCAAAGTTGGCATGGAAATCGAGGTCAGGCCAGGCCTTGTATCAAAGGATGCAGAGGGCAAACTGACTTGTCGTCCTATCTTTTCAAGAATTGTCTCTCTCTACACTGAGCAGAATGAACTCCAGTATGCAGTTCCAGGAGGATTAATTGGTGTGTGCAGCTATCTAATGGTACTTGAAATATCCTGACATTCTTCATTTTGCTGATTGCCTCAAATTGTTACAGGTGTGGGAACTAAGATTGAACCCACGTTGTGCCGTGCTGATCGACTTGTGGGTCAAGTCCTTGGTGCGGTAGGTGCTTTACCAGAAATCTACATTGAACTGGAAATTTCATATTACTTGCTGAAGCGCCTCCTCGGTGTCCGAACTGAAGGGGATAAAAAAGCAGCCAAGGTAATTTTAATACTGTTAAATATTTAGATGATAGACACATCTATCTCTCACCTTCATTACTTTGTCTTCTTTTCACAGGTCCAGAAGCTGTCAAAGAATGAAGTCCTTCTGGTCAACATTGGTTCATTGTCTACTGGTGGGCGTGTGCTCGCTACCAAGATGGACTTGGCAAAAATCAGCCTAACCAGTCCAGTGTGTACAGAAATTGGAGAGAAGATTGCCCTGAGTCGACGAGTGGAGAAGCATTGGCGGTAAGTGAATATTCTTTTATTATCCTGGAAGTTGAAATTAATTTTTTCTACTTCACTGAATTTTTGCTTTCTTTTAGGTTGATTGGATGGGGTCAGATTCGTGGTGGCGAAACTATTCAGCCTGTTGTTGATCATAAGCCATTTTAACATGGTTTCATTGTGTTATGGTTGTATTAAAAATGAATCATTATATAGCAGATATTTTTTCTCATACTGTCCAATAAATGTCTTCAAGCACTGGAAACCCATTCTTTGAGTCTATTGAGTTACTTCATTTGAATCCAGTGAGGCCCTCAGAGCTCAAAACCAACTGACTTCTGAGTTAATTAGAACAATATTAAAATGATAAATCCCACTGAAGCTGTTCAGAAATTACTTATTAGTATATTTCGAAAGGGATTGACATTAACACAACACAGCCTCCCACCACAGCGTTCCTGAACTTAAAATTAGCAGGAATAGAATATTGAACTAGTCTCTGAATGATAATCTTCCAGTCAAGCTCAATAAATTCAAATATTATCAAAACTACCATGTAGGGTTCATAATAAAACACACTTAGAGTTGACCAACTTTAATTTAAAGAAGGATTTGATATATTTACATAACAGACATGAATGGACTACAATCCAATTAATAAAATGATTATTCAAGCACTGTCAGCAATGATTTTGGAATACTTTCTAACTTTTGAGGCAATGCTCATGTCAACATATTTGTCACCAATGGTAACAACCATCCCACCAATGATGGAAGGATCAATCTTGGTGGTCAGCAGAATTTTCTGGTTTGATTTCAAGAAGCCCTTCAGTGCTCCCTCAAGTTCCTTCAGGACCCCAGCATCCAGGGGCTGAAACAAAATTTTATGAGCTAAAGTAAAAAGGTCATAGAAGCAGACTGGCAATTGGTACTATCAGAGATTGTTACCCACCTTGGCAGTGGTGATTTCGCAGGGAACTTCTCCTCGAGCGGCAGCCATGATCTGCTTGAAAGCATTGATGGTGCCATTCAGGTTCTTAAGCCGGTTGTTCTCTGCCATAAGACCTAGACAGAGGGAAGATGAGACAATTTGAAAACACAGTAAATGAAATGCTGTCCACTCACTGATGTATTGTAAACTTACTCAGCAGGTTGGTAACGGGAGCAGACAGGCTAGTCTGCTTAGCAGCTGCTTTGATGGCCTCAACCTTGATGTTCTTCTTGATGCTTGGATTGATAAGGTAGTCATTCAACTTCGCATCCTTCTTCAGCTCAGTCTATGGAATGAATATTAAACATAACAAATAATATTAGGATAGGAGGATACACCAGGGAAAAACAGTGCCTAGTGGAACAAGGCAGTGCGTGGTGGAGCATTGCTTAAGGACCAAAGAATGTAAGTGATAAACACCTGAATTTTGATGAGATCCTTCTCTGCAGCATCAAGGGCCTTCATCTTTGAGGCACCAGAGAACAGAGCGGTGGCATATCGACCATCCAGCCCAAAGATCTGGATTGGGGGCTGGAACAAATTTCAATGACGTAAGCTTAGGCTGACAAAGGAGGAAGACGATGAACTGACGAGAAAAACTTATAAAGTACTGACCTTCACCATCTGCTGCCCGACGGGGGAGGAGGAGAAGGACCTCACCTGCAAAAGCGACAGGCATGACAATGAGACAAACAGAGCAGGTAGCAATTGTACATGAGAGGTTATGTATCACTTTAAACAGCACTGGATTGTGAGTAAAACGAGCATTCTCTAACGTAGCCCATGAAAGAAAACGAAATAACGGGTAAGGCTTTCTTCAACAGACATTTATGACAAACAATGTGGATATTGCGAATTTGGATGCTGACCGTGTGACCGATCTAGCAGACAGCCAATGCCTTAACCTTGACTATGTGTAGGCAAGACGTCTACATTTAGTCTCTCAGGACTTGTAAGGTAGAAAACAGCCTCTGAACTACCAACAACATTCAGTCTGAACCGGCATTGAGACGTAGCGTTAATGGATAACGTGAAAGGAGCAAATTATTTCGTCTTTGACCCCTGGTCCTCTGATGCTACGAACGGCAAGTGCATGAGCTCTTTAACAGCAGGGACATGCAACGTGCGCTGTGATCCTAGTAGGACTTTAATAGCGCGGTCAGTTTAATGTCGTTATGACACGAGGATACAAGAAATTCAAGGTGGATTCAATGAAATACTTACAATCATACCGATCTTTGGGGTCGCCATTTTGACTGGACTGCTGGAAGTGAAGTTGACAAATGAAGGTGAAGGGAAAGAAGAAAAAAAAAATAAGCCTCAAAAGTGTTCAACCAAACTGGAAAATAAATGGAAACCACTTAAATGGTTACACCCCATTTTAGTTTAAAATTTACAAATCTGTTAGCTATGATTTAAATTTTATTTCTTGCGAGGCTGTACTTTAGTAAAGCAGTAACTAATATGATGACAGATATGCTACAAGTTAGTTAAAGTTAAAAGGTTGGCTGTGCTGGGCCGTTGAGCACCGTGTTCTGTCTGTTGCGCGGCAAAAGTCCGAATATAGGAACGTTCGCTGTGAAGTTGAACGCACGGCTATGAAAGTGAACGAGGGACTACAGTTGTATCTCTCTTGATGTGAAATTAAATAACGTCGACAGCTGCAATGAGAATTTGGTGTAAGGGAAGGTCCCCAAACCGATTGGGAAGGTTCGATCTGAGGTGTGGCTCTACATGTAGGGAGCAGTGAAGACAGCGCTCGAATCCAGTTGCTGAAAGACTTTGCCTGCCTTTCAGCCAGACGGGAGGGTCACTAAACGCGTCTCATGCGTGGGGCGTGGGAGGAAACCCTTTCCTTTGCTCCAAAGTTGAGCTGCTGGAGATCCCACCATCCCCCACCCCTCCCCGCCGCCCCGCCCCCTTCCCGTGGCGGCGGCGTCGGCACCGCGGCTGCAGTGGTGCGCGTCGCGGGCTATAGCTGCTGCTGCTACTGCTGCAGCCGTGCCGGCGGGCCGTCCCGGCGGCCGCCTCCCCCTCCGTCCGTCCGGCCCGCCGCCGTCGCGTGGCGTGGCGCGGCGCAGCTTGCTCTCCGTTGCCCGTCGGTGTTGCTGCTGTTGCTTTGCTGTTCCTTCCATACTTCCATTCCATTCGGTCTCGGTCGGCCCGATAGTCGCAGCCAAACCGTTGTGTGTAACGCGTCACGCTAGTGCAAGGAACCGCCGCTTGTGAAGGAATTCAGTGCGCCTGCCAACGTCAGTCCTCCGCCGGTCCTCCGCCGCCCCATCCAGGCCGTCCAGGACCTCTGGAATACTCATCGCCGTCCACGAAGCCGACGCCGCCGACGAGTACAGGTTAGTCGCAGGCTGACGTTGCGGCAGACCCGGGCCGGGGTTTTGACAGCGCGTAGCCGGCCGCCGGGCAGGCCAGCCTTCAGGGCCTCCAGGGCCTCCAGGACCTAACGGGCCTACGTCACAGGCATCGGCAGCGCGGCAGGGCGCTAAGTTTACGAGGCCGGCTGCGTCCCCGTCCTGCCTGCCCTGCGTCGTGGCTGCACCGGAGGATGCTTTGTCGTTTTGGGTTTTGGGTGGGGTCGGGGAGCTGGGTAGAGTATCGGCTCGGGGATCCAGCACCGCTCCAGCCGCTCCAGCCACGGCCCCAGCCCACGGGATACCGGTCAAGAGGAAAGAGAGGGGAGGGGCCTCGGAGGGCTTCCGCGTGGTGGTGGTGAAGGGCGCAAGGGCGGTGTGTCAGTGACGTTGAAGTTTCGCCAGGATCCACGACGCGCAAGGAGATGGCTGGCGTGGCTTGCGCCCCGAGTGTGGGCCCACACTGTGGGGCAGGGCAGGGCCGAAAGCCCACGCACTCACTGTGTCTCTCTCGCACTCATGGGGCGTGAGAGAGACAGAACACCGTTCAGCCTCCTCCCGGCAGCGAAGGGCTCGTAAGCCCCTTCACACTCACCCTTCGCTCCCTCCCTTCCAGTCTGACTCACCCGAGGGGGAGGGGGAGCTGCAGTCCGCGAGCCGCGAGCGTGTGCAGACCTGCAGACTTGATCCTCTCATCCTCCCCCCGGCCCGGCCCGGCCCGGTCCGGCTCCACCCCGAATCTCGAGACTCGAAACGCGGCTACGCTGGGGTTTGTGGAGTGTCTCCGCCTTTGTCTCGCCGCCTTTGTCTCGCAGCCGTTTTCAGTGGAGCGAACAGCGAGCCCGGAATGCCATCGCGCAAACGATGCCCCAATTAATTAAGGATGCTCCGTTCCGTCCTTTCCCCCCTTCCTTCTTCCTCCTTCCTCTTTCCGGCCTTCCGGTCGACTCTAATTCCCGGACTCGGCTGCTCCCCCTGGTCCCCCTGGTCCCCTGCCCGGGGCTGGGCCGCGCACCTCTACGCACCTGCCCGTCGATGCCCGCTGACGCCCCCCCCCCCCCCCCCGGGCGCGTCGTCGAACGTCGAACTGGCGATAAGCCCAGACATCCGCCGTTGTCTGTACACAACACAGTGCCGGCGCTGGCGCGCTGCCTGCGCGGCATATTGATGGTGACGCATACCCGAGGGCTTGCCGCGGCTTGCCGAGGACCCGGGGCGTAGCGCGGCAGCGGCGTTACGTGGCGGGCCCAAGGGATGGCTTTGGTCGGGACCGATCGGGCGTTGGTTCTGGTGATGTCACCGAAGGGCGACCGGACAGGCCGGCCACGCCCTGGCCGCCTGAGTCACAGGGCGCTGCGCAGCGCTGCGACATGCCAGGGCCGGCGAAGGGTGAAAGGGTGGATGGGGATAACGAAGGACTGAATCATCGGCTCGACAGTGCTTGGCGCTCGTGACGTCACACTCCCTGCAGGACTGCGAGCGGAGCGGTCGATTGGACGAAGCCTCCGGCCCTGAGAGCGTGTGCTCCCGCTGGCTGATGTGCCTGGTGCACCCTTCGCTCAGCTCGGCGCCCTTTCTGCGGATCGGTGGTTTGCGGCTGGCTACGCCAATGGCTGGAGCGGTGCACCCTTCACTGCCGCCGGCCCGCCCCACCCCGCCGCCATGCGCCGGCCGGCCCGTCCGAGGGGAGGACGGCGGGGAGGGTCTTTGTGTGCTCGCCGCCCCAGCCGCCTCGCCCTCCCCATCGCCGCCGCGGGCTAATGGTACACATACGCAGTGCGGAGCTGGGGCTGCGGAGGCGCTGTGCAGTTTGTGGTTGTCAGACGTCATGACTGGGGACTGGGTGCCACCGGAATGCCAGTTTTTCAGTCCTCCGCTGTCTTCCCCGCTGGCGTGCTGGCGGTGACCTCACCGGGGGCTGGACCTCCACGCCGCCGTCGTCGTGCCATTGCCCCGCTGTTCGTCATCGAGGCCGTGCCGCCGCGCCGCGGCCGTTGCGACCGCCGTCGGGCTGCGGCCGCTACGGGCGCCCCGATGACTCAGAGGACCCGCGCACCCCGCGCCACGCCACGCACCGGACCGGCTCGGCTCGGCTCCGCGCGCCCGGTTCCGGCTCGGCTCAAATCTGTGGCCGGCTCAGCTCGGCTTGGCGCCCCGCCCCGCCTTCATTGTCTCCTCGTTGCATTGGCACTTTGTCAGTCTGACCGGACCCGGGTCAGAAGGAAGAGGGGAGGGGCGGGGCGCGGCGCGTCAACGCGCTGCCCGCCGGGCGGGGCAGGGCGGGGACAGATTGCTGGCTCGCTTGAAAAAGGCTCGCTGCTTTTCCACTCGCACCATCTGAGTGCCGAAGGCGACGCGACTCCAAAGCGTTTCCACACCCAACCAGATACTGTACTGGCAGGGGTGCGAGAGAGACAGCGACAACGCAGTCGCCAGCAATCGCTCTATCGGCTGCACCTCGCGGCGTGTCGGAGGTGTCGCCTGTAGTGCCACACTGGCGCGAGAGAGACAGACAGAGCGACGAATCGTCTTCCCTCGGAATCGGTCTGAACTCTGAGTCGAGCGCTGTGTCGAGACGTGCCGCTGACGCCGGCTTCCAGTGTATGGCCCTTCCCTCGCGGACGGGGACGACGGGGACGTCCTGGTTGCCCCGCGGTTAGGGACGGCCCCCGGCACGCCATCTGGTGGACGAAAGTACGTCTGGGGCCTTACGGCGCTCGGCCCGACCGGGCAGGGCAGGCAGGGCGGGCAGGGCAAGCTGGGCGCCCCTCCAGGAGCCGCCGCCCCGCCCCCGCCCCGCGCAGCGCGACGTACACCAACGACGCGCCGCGGCGCCGCCACATGTGTGCTCCGCGCTCCTACAAGACTGCGTGCCGCGCGGTGCCGCGCGCACAGTGCGCACCGAGCCGTATGTCATCCGGGGACGCGATGGCGCGGTGGCGGGGCGCGACGCCGCGGAGGGCACCCGGCCGGGCAGAGCCGCGCGGCGAAAGGAGAAAATGAAGGAGGGAAGAAGACAAGAAGAGAGCCGTGACGACGATCGCTACCCTCATGCATTAGTCAGGCGGCCCCGCTTTCACCCCGCCGTCCCCGTCGACTGTCACCCCGTCCTTCCGGCGCCGTCGCTTCCGCCGACTTGTGTGCGAACTGCGAACGCTTTGTCGCTGCATTTCCGAAGGGGCGTCGTCGCCGTCGTTCCGCTGCAGGCGTCTGCACTCCGCCACGCCCTCGGACTCCTCCGCGTCCTTCGCGGTGGTCATGGCAACGTCCTGCGAGTCCTTGGCGGGCTTTTCCTTTCTGGGCACCTGCCGCCTCGTCACCGCCGCCTTGTCACTGCCGCCAATTTCTGTCGCGTCCAGGAATCGCGGCGAAAGTGCACGGCACTGTGAATACTGCTACACTGTCTTGAAGGGTTTAGCCCGGTTCCGCCGGTCTGGCAGTGCCCCGGTGTTCCACCGCCTTGCCGCCCCGCACGGGCCTGCATCCTTGACACCCGGTGTCGGCCCCGTCCAATTTGTCATCTCGATCGCCGAGTCAGCAAGCCTGCCCATGGACTCGCCATGACTCGCCGAGCGGTAGTTCATGACCTGCCTGTCCTACACTGTACCTACGACTCCCCTCCCTCCCCTCATATTCCTTTCGAGTAACAAGGTTGTTCTAGCCGTGCGCCGCGCTGCGCCCGCCTGATGGGGTTGTGACGTCACCTCCCTGGAGAAGGCGTGGCCTTATATACCCGCCGTATGGTCATACTCACTCGCCGCCTCTGCACTGCAAAAACCAAAGTTTGCCCAAATCGACCTTAATTTCGTCAATTTCCTTTGAAATATCATTTTGACTAAGACTGCCCCATGAATTTTTCACTAGGACTTACCATCCAATAAATTACCAAAACTAACAGATACTAGATCCTGTTTTACTGTGTACGAGAAATAATCACCGCGTCAGGATCGGAGCAAGGCGCGAATAGATTCCGGAGTGTTCCCCTGCTCGTTAGATTGAATGCGGGCCGACTTGTTTGGTTTGCCTAATTGCGGGCACGCGCGTCCAGGGCGAGTTTTTTTAAATTTTTATTTTCGAGGCTCACTGGGGTGGAAAAGGTAACTCCCCATGAATCACACACACCTCGTGGGCGGTGCTTCTTGCACCCGGCTTATCTAGCGGCCTTCTAATTGGCCCAACGCGTCTATCTCTCCGTTCCGTGTTCCTCGGTGTTCCTCGCCCCGTCGCGGTTCTCGTTCTCATTTTTGCAGTGGTGTGTAATTGCTGCAGCGCAGTCGGTATTCGGCCTGGCTGGCTGGCTGGCCTGCCTCGCGGGGGGTCTGGGCGGCACGTGTGTGTTGTTGGCCGCCGGCTGGACGCGGGTCCGCGGGTTCGAACCCCCGTCAGTGCAGCACTTTTGCAGTGGCGGTTCACCTCACCGGGAATCCGCGAGCGCCGTTTTGTCATGTTTGCGGCATCCCCACTGGGATTCCCCGGGCAGCCCATGCGTGCGGCGCCCTGCCGAGGGTCGCGCCTCGCTGCAGACCGGTACCGTGCCACTATAAAATTTAATTTTTCGGTGGTGCTTGTGGCAAATACGCACTCGGCCATCGGTCACGTGACCGCACGGCGCCGCGCTCCGCTGCGCTCGGCCACACTCGCAAGTACTTCCGGTAGTAGTACGTAGTGCCGTGCCGGTCCGGTCCGCCCGGCGCGGCGGAGGAGAGGAGAGCCCCGCGGTGCTCGCGAGGAGGCCGACGAGGAGGCCGGGAGGCAGGGCCTTTAATTTGTCTCACTTGGACTCCGATGCCGCGAGCCGCACCGCGCCGAGACGGCCAGGCAGGCGCCACGCACGGCCAGGCCCTTAATGAGTTGAGCGTGCCGCCCCGCCCCGCCCCGCCCCGCCCCGCCCCGCCCCCCCCGCCCCGCCCCGCCCCGCCCCCGGCCTAGCGCCATCGCTCGCGCCGAACCGAACGCCGCCAAGGAGCGCGGTGCATGTTCCTCAT